AGGACAGGCCAACTAACCATCCTGAATACTTCGACTATAGCTGGAGAGTGCAGTGAAAAAATACGGTGGCCTAATTGTTCGTACTTTTAGCAAGTAAGTGGAGGAAGGACAGGCCAACTAACCTTACTGAATACCTTGACTATAGCTGGAGAGTGCAGTGAAAGAATAGGGTGGCCTAATTGTTCGTACTTTTAGCAAGCAAGTGGGGGGAAGGACAGGCCAACTAACATTACTGAATACCTTGGCTATAGCCGGAGAGTGCAGTGAAAGAATAGGGTGGCCTAAATTGTTTGTACTTTTAGCAAGTAAGTGGAGAGAAGGACAGGCCAACTAACCTTACTGAATACGTTGACTATAGCTGGAGAGTGCAGTGAAAGAATAGGGTGGCCTAAATTGCTCGTACTTTTAGCAAGCAAGTGGGGGGAATGACAGGCCAACTAACCATCCTGAGTACCTTGACTATAGCTGGAGAGTGCAGTGGTAATGTCTAAACTATAGTCTTTGACTTTGCAAAAGTTCTCTCCCTCGAAAGGTTATCGCTATACTATTACAGCTCACACTATACAAAGAATGAGACAGAAAGGACGACGACATTTAGGCTTCAATAGAACTTCATATAGGCTTACTCATGTACGTACAGGTTGGACTAGACTTTGGGTCGAGGATGCAGATAGGACTGGACGCAGTGGAGGGAATAAGATTCCTCCACGGACAAGGCCTTCTCCACAGAGACATCAAACTGAAGAACGTTCTGGTGAGTACCTCTTTTTCAGTAGGTACCGTTTTTAGGGTGTTTTACGTGAGTTTGCAGTCTGAGCTCTACTCTACTCTTTGTGTTTTGCCTGCATTTTGGGGTGGAAACCTTGCAAGTTATGCGCTATGCAACCATTTCCTCATTGCCCACCAATATTACGTTTCATTTCATTCACCCCCCACACACACACACCCTCACACCGGCACACAGCTGAACAACGCAAACAGAGGCACACTCACAGATCTCGGTTTCTGCAAGCCTGAAGCCATGATGACCTGCACCATCGTAGGCACGCCGATCCACATGGCCCCCGAGCTATTCGGCGGTTCCTACGACAATTCAGTCGACATTTACGCATTCGGAATCCTCTTCTGGTACATCTGTGCCAACGACACGAAACTCCCCGGGGCGTTCGACGCCTGTCAGAACAAGGAACAGCTCTGGACGTCGGTGAGGAAGGGGTTAAGACCGGAAAGGTTACCGCGGTTCGACACGGACTGCTGGGAGTTGATGTGCTCTTGTTGGCTCGGGGAGAGCATTCAGCGGCCGTTGATTGGGGACGTGGCCCTTCGTTTGCACCTCATTATGAAGAGAATAGGACGAACTCCGCTAAAGTAGGGCATGTAGTGTAGGTTTCTGTCATCACTTTCACTAATTGAGGATATTAACTACTCTATTGTACTGTTTGACACGCTATTATTATTATTTTGCTTTTGCATCGACATTATTGTTTTGTAAACAAGTATTTGTACATTATTGTGTGTTGTATGTATTCTTGTTTGTAATAATACAGCATGACACCGATAAGTGCAGCACTCTATAGCTAAGAATGACCTTGCAAGAAATTTAAAAATATGCTTATGTACTTATTCAGCTTCTTAATTATTACGATAACTACTACTATGATAAGGATGACTGTTGCAAGTACAAACAAAACTCCTAGAACAATCGCTGGGGTATTGCTGCAGCCATCTGCAGACAAGACAACAGCTACCACAATGTCAGCATAATGAAAAGGTTAAAAACCTGATGGTTGAACTCCTTCTGCACATGGAGTCTCAGATGGTGGTATTGTTTGTGTAACGGTCACAATGCAGTTGTCTGAAAATAGAAATCATTATAATTATACTAATGGTTGCTATGTCAAATTAAAGTTACTGAGGCACAAACCTGGGCACACGGTGTCAACATTGCACGTCAAATCATCTTCACCACTCATGGCTGTGTTCTTGCAGAGACATTGCTGGTTGTTGTTGTCTATCAGGCAGGAGCATAGCTGGTCCTCTCCACACATTGCTGTTGTCATAATAAACAATCCCCTTACAGTAAAATTGCACTATACCTAACTGAATAGCAAACAAATTCATGATGTGCTGCTATAATAATATGGCGCCTTGCTTATGTGTAATAGTTTACATCATAATGCTATGTCTGCACTTTAAGCTGAAATCATCATATCTGGAAATACTGCTTCATGAATACAGGAAGTGTTTTCGTTCAAAGAGCCACCACACACAATTAGACCATTTTCATAGTTTCACAAGCTCCAGTGTGAAACGCCCTCCCTTTTGGCTTTGAAGGGCGTGTTATTTAGGGTTTGTATTGTAGAATAACCTATGCTGACCCCTGTCTCTGCATGCTGGCTCAATAGTATCTTGATCAATTCTGAACAACCAAACACCTTCCTCTCCAACATTACTGGTCTCGACCAGTGAGACTATGTTTTCAGTCATTGAACAGGGCATCTTCCAAGTGCTGTTTGTCCCTATATATTATAGCAACATACATCATTATTCCTGTTTAGAAAATTTTGCTTGGTTTGATATTACCATTGAATCCTACATATGCAGGGCTAGTATCTTTCCACTGCAGCATGTTGTATTGGAATATTGCAAAAGACATTTCACCATCCGTTGCAATTACACACTGAAATGTATTATTCTGCAAAAACAAAATAGTTTAGGTTTCTACTGTGTATAGCTAATAGTACGTTATTGTTGTATTAATGCACCACTGAATTGTCCACAGAATCCTGGTATCCAACCTCATCCCATGTAGCAATGATCAGGTATTTTGCTTTGAAGCAGGAATAGTCAGTATAGCGGTGGATAAGGCATTCTGCCTTATCTATGTTAGTTTGCGCTGTGTCTCGGCAAAATTTCACACAACTGTTTGCATCATTGCTATCCGGCTCTAGGTTCCCGGAGAATGGAGCTATAAATATATCACTGGGTGGTGAAGCAAACTCAACAGTACCCCTAGTAGTAACCTGCAACTTCTCAAAGTTACATGATGTTGGCTGGCAAGGAAACTTACGAAAAGAGTGTTGTATTTTTCACCGTAGAAGGGTAGCTTCAGCGTTAGATCCAGCCTTTGGTAACCGGGAAATATTACTCCAGGGTTTGCGCATTTGTAGAAGTCTTCGTCGACGGAGACAGCTCCCGTTACTGCCAGGATGCCAGGTATTAGCAACGTTACTTGCGGCAGCAGCGCCATCGTGTTGGTTGAGTCCACTTTTAACCCAGAGTTCAACACCAACAGTTAGCTATAGTAGAGGCAACGTGGAGGTTCCGAGGGTGGGGCTGCAGCATGCGCGCACCTTCGTTCCGTTCTGCAGCGCCATGGAATGGAATCCAATTTGTGTAACACAACAGCCCGAGTGAGCCCCTCCTCCGTCCGCCCAGCCATACCCCCAAGATCGAGGCCGAGCCTGTGGAAGAGACTGCTTGCACTCCAGCACTTGCTTAGAGAAGTAGGAATTTGGATGTTACATAGAGTTGAATTGCATACGTTTTTGCTTCCATATCATGCAGGTTCAAAATAGTTAAGATTTTCGTGCGGACCCCGTCAGGTAGCTAAAACCATTGCACTAACAGTGAACGGTTCTGCAAAAGCGCGCCATAAAACCGCCGAATAGGGCCTCCCAGTAAACCGCCAGAGCCTGGTCTACAATGGGAGGAAAATGAGGAACGAACACTTGCTTCGAGACCACGTAGTGTGCAATATTATGGTGCCTGTAGAAAGGTTACCGCTATACTATTAAACTACGTAAAAGCTCACGCTATACAAAACAGAGACGGAAAGGATTACGACATAGGTATCAATAGAACTTCATATAGGCTTATATATACTCATGTACGTACAGGTCGGACTAGACTTTGGGACGAGGATGCAGATAGGACTGGACGCAGTGGAGGGAATAAGATTCCTCCACGGACAAGGCCTTCTCCACAGAGACATCAAACTGAAGAACGTTCTGGTGAGCACCTCTTTTTCAGGAGGTACCATTGTGTTAGGATGTTTTACGTGAGTTTGCAGTCTCATCATTTTGAGGCTAAACTACGTTATGTGATCGTACTAATGTATTTCCATGTTGCTTTTCTAGCAACAAACCTCTATATTTGCCTTTTGTGAAATGAAACAATTCTACACTTTTTGTTTGCGCATTTTGGGGTGCAAGGCTTTGCAAGTTATCCGCTATGCAACCATTTTTCTCATTGCCGCCAATTACGTTTCGTTTCATGCACCCCCCACACATACACACACACACACCCTCACTCACACCCTCACACCCTCACACGCTATGATTATTATTTTGCTTTTGCATCGACATTATTGTATGTGTACATTATTGTGTGTGTTGTATGTATGACTGTTTGTAATAATAACCTTTAACAGTGTTATAATGAGCATGTTCATAAAACTGCAGTGCTAACATTGACTATTACATAGCTATATCCTGCTTCATTACTGTTGGGCTTAATTCGCCATCACAGTCTTCAGCAACTTTGGGCCCCTGTTCGTCTGGTGGTCCGGCAACTTCGTCCCCCTGTTCGTCTGGTGGTCCAACAGCTTCATCCCCCTGTTCGTCTGGTTGTCCAGCAGCTTCGTCCCCCTGTTCGTCTGGTGGTCCGGCAACTTCGTCCCCCTGTTCGTCTGGTGGTCCGGCAACTTCGTCCCCCTGTTCGTCTGGTGGTCCGGCAGCTTCGTCCCCCTGTTCGTCTGGTGGTCCGGCAGCTTCGTCCCCCTGTTCGTCTGGTGGTCCGGCAGCTCTGTCCCCCTGTTCGTCTGGTGGTCTGGCAGCTCCGTCCCCCTGTTCGTCTGGTGGTCCGGTAGCTTCGTCCCCCTGGTCGTCTGGTGGTCCGGCAGCTTCGTCCCCCTGTTCGTCTGGTGGTCCGGTAGCTTCGTCCCCCTGTTCGTCTGGTGGTCCGGCAGCTTCGTCCCCCTGTTCGTCTGGTGGTCCGGCAGCTTCGTCCCCTGTTCGTCTGGTGATCGCAGCTTCGTCCCCCTGTTTCGTCTGGTGGTCCGCAACTTCGTCCCCTGTTCGTCTGGTGGTCCGTCAGCTTCGTCCCCCTGTTCGTCTGGTGGTCCGGCAGCTTCGTCCCCCTGTTCGTTTGGTGGTCCGGCAACTTCGTCCCCCTTTTGGTTTGGTGGTCCGGCAGCTTCGTCCCCCCTGTTCGTTTGGTGGTCCGGCAGCTTCATCCCCTGTTTGTCTGGTGGTCCATCAGCTTCGTCCCCCTGTTCATTTGGTGGTCTGGCAGCTTCGTCCCCCTGTTCGTCTGGTGGTCCGGCAGCTTCGTCCACCTGTTCGTTTGGTGGTCCGGCAACTTCGTCCCCCTTTTGGTTTGGTGGTCCGGCAGCTTCGTCCCCCCTGTTCGTTTGGTGGTCCGGCAGCTTCGTCCCCTGTTCGTCTAGTGGTCCGTCAGCTTCGTCCCCCTGTTCGTTTGGTGGTCTGGCAGCTTCGTCCCCCTGTTCGTCTGGTGGTCCGGCAGCTTCGTCCCCCTGTTCTTCTGGTTGTCTGGCAACTTCGTCCCCCTGTTCGCCTGGTGGTCCGGCAACTTCGTTACATTTTGGGTGTTTTCTCGTGCTGCAACCACTTTTTCACAGAACCCCTGCCCCAGTATGCAGTGCGCATGCGCAAATAAACACGACCACCTGCTCATGAGCTCCAGAGAAGGTCGACTCTACCTCACATTCAGTTTCCTCAGTTTCAGTTTGCTTTGAGAGAAGTTGCGCGGACTGCGTTGATGTATAGATAATCTTTAACTCAAGGGTTATAAGTGCTGTATCGTTATAATTATCCCACACTGTGCAAATCACTACTGCTATATAAAGATAATCACAATTTTCTAGCTAGGATGCTACGGTAACTGCTAACTAATATCCGTGCTCAAAATATTATACAAGAGCCTGATCAAAGAAACCAACACCAGTTCCTCTGGCGACATGGCTGTTGAACATGTGGTAATGGCTGCCGTGGCGTGGTCACCATTCCACGCTCTTCATCATATATCGCTGCAGTTTAGGATAAATAATGCCATGACTGCAATCCACTGGCAGTAAAAAGTTCACCTTTTATTTTACGTCCAACTGCATTCAGTGCTGGCTCTGACTCGAGAGCTGCCAACATGACATGGAAGGGCCTAGGTTCTATAGAAATGCGGCGCTCTAGTGCTGTTAGAATAGCTTGGATCCTCTCTCTGTCTGTTGCTGTGGAATGTATGGCTTTTTCACGCTCCTCAGGAGTTAGTAGGCTTTTGCTATAGAGCACAGGCACTAGACTGCTGGGGTCTACTCCGTCATGGAAAACCTGATGGCATCGTCTGAAAGCTCTCTGCTCAACAGACATTTGGCCAGACTGGATGTTTGGAAAGGCCACTGGCTCTGCAATACAGAGGCAGAAAATCAGGAAGTCAACACTTCAACATAATTTTGCAGGTAAAATCTGAAGCGGAGTATATATAAGGCTAGCATTGGTCTTTTTGATTCTCAACTGTTAGGCATGCTAATTTAATGTTTGTGTATTTACTGTTTCATTACAAAATATTTTCAAGCACAATTACGTGCACTTAGAAAAAAACTCGCAATTCGCAATAGACATAATGCAATTAATAACCAGTCCTACGGTAATGTAACTTACTACTCCTGGTGATTCTTATGTAGCTCCCTTCCGGTTTTACTCCTAAAAATCCTACTCTCTGTTCAAGATCTTTGGGTTCACGTTTGACCATTTTAAGCTCTAATTGAAAGGCCGGAACGAGTTGTCCTCCTTTGTAGTTATCTAATGACTCTTTCACGAGCTGAATCAATAGAATTATTATAATTAATTCCGTATTCCTCTACTCATTTTTTTATCGTTAGGATGGTCTGTTTTACATATTGGGGTAATACACAACACACAGTAGCGTAAAGCATCGAGTGAGCATAGGTAGCTATGCACAAAAGGCTAGTATTGACTATATACTAATCGTGTAATTTGCATGAGCTGCACGGCTGTTTATCAACATTATAATGTGTCCTCAAAACAGAAGAACTTAAATTGGAAGTTAAAACTGTACGTCTCAAACGAGCGAATCCGTGTGTAACTAGGTAGGTGGTCGAATGCTACAGCTTGATGCTTGAAAATATCGACAAAATTGTTTCCTATAGCGATCCATCAAACAATAAGCCACTTGCACACACCCCACTGTCGGAACAGATGCACTACGACAAATTGTTAGCTCCCTCGCTCTACGATTAAGATTAATCTCTTACACGGAGTGAGGAAAGGGGACACAATCTCCAACCATCTTTGGTCCATGGCTCTTCAGGAGTGTCGAGTGTTATTTTATCGACTCCAGGTTCGAACTTGACCGCAATTATATTTGGACCTTCTAGAGCTCCTTGCCCCTCGTAAATCTCATGCACCTTCTGCAATAGAATAAAAAAAATTATTAGTATGATGGGGTTTGGTAATAAAACACGTGAAATTACCTTCACGACTAGGTCTTTGCTTTGGGTGACAGTAATATGAAACTCCTGTACATTAAGTGGTTTCGGCACATAGTAGGTGCGGATGGCATAGTTACGTGACCTGCCAAGCACTGCAAAGATAGAAAAGTGGCTGACTTCGATAGTAGCCTCTCCAGACTCAGGAAAGTATCCTCCTGGCAGACGCTCAAAGATGTAAGGCGGTGTATCTCTGGCAGTGTAGAAGGAGAGCGCTGTATTTTCATCGTCATCTTCCTCTTCACCCACGGAGGCGCAGTGCTGGAGACATAAACTGACTTTTTTGCGGAAATTTTCGACTGGGGAATTGACAGAGATAGAGTAGACCCCACTGACAGGACTGAGATCATCTGGAAACTGATATTCTCCCTGCAAGCTGGCCTGGACATACATGTTGACTTGTCCAGTGCCCTGCTCCACACCTCCACAGAGGGCACCCGCTGGAACCGTAACTTTGAACCCATGGTCCTTCCAGTCGTAGGTTAGTGGCTCTTCTGGATTGATTGCTATCTCTTTCTGTGCTAGTATTTCAGCTTGCTCAACATCGGGGAATGCTACAGATGTGAGAGATACTCTGTTCTTGATTGACCACACCAATTAGCAGAGGAATAGCTATCACTATAAGTTTATTATGTGCATAGTAAGTACAACAGAATTACATGTGTACTGCATAGTAGGCTTGCCACTCAATTACCAAGTATATTATATTCATAGTCGTGGGGTTCAGTATGGTAATTTGATCGGCTCACAAACACATTCTACAATCTCTGCAACATAATCATAATTCCTGTACGTCAACAGGCACAGTCAGTACGCCCATTTGTGCATACCGACCACACACAAGATACTCCTTTTGATCTGCACAGAGCAAAGGCGCGTTTTAATATCCAGCATCAAAGCAAGCATTGGGAGCAAAATATCTGCCTAGAATCCTATTGCAATGCGACGTACGCAATGTTCAGAGAATTACAAATGCTGATAAAAACATGGAAAGGCATGGTTGAAAGTTATAGGACTGAAAACTAATTTAGTCACAGGCACTCCACTGGACACTAAACAGGACGTGTATGTTTGTTTTAGTGCACTTCTGGGAATCGTAGAGAGATAAAGATAGCTAAGCTAGGCCTGGTAATACTTTCACCAGAACTTTCTTGTTATGGTTAAAGGTCTGGCACTGACATATGCACAGCTAACTACAGCGCGGCAGTTCTGCAAGGAATGATACTTACAATTCTCTATGTATGACTTCATCAACTAGTCTTAAAGGAATACAGCCAGAAGCGTATTGTACGGTAGCTTTCACTCCTGGAGCCTAGTGCAGAATTGTGCATGTAGCTATACACACATGCATTAGCGAAAGCTGGAATAAGCCCAGGTAGGATGGCAAGGCTGCAGGCTGAAAAAAGCAGCACAGGCATCATGGATTAAAGCAGAATGTGTTCCGGTTATATCGCATGAGCTCTGAGGCACCACTTACCCCCTGTTAGTAAAAGAATACGAATGACATCGTGCTCCTGGATACTGTAGTTGCTCAGGGTCTGTCCATCTTCCAGTTGCCCTCCATAATAGGTAAGCTGTTGCTGGTCTGCTGGTATTCCCTCTTTGTCTTGAATTATCGCTTTCACATTCTCAGTGGTATCACTGTCCTCCACCTTCAGAGTTATGGTCTTTCCTGTCGGTGTCTTTACATATATCTGTACCCCTCCTCGTAGCCGCAGGACCAATTGAAGAGTTGACTCCTTCTGAATGTTATAGTCACTCAGTGTTCGTCCATCTTCCAGTTGTTGACCAGTAAATACAGTCGTATTTGGTCTGGTGGTATTCCCTCCTTGTCCTGGATTTTAGCTTTCACATCCATAATGGCATCACTGGCCTCCACCTCCAGAGTTATGGTCTTGCCTGTCAGTGTCTTCACATATATCTCCATCCCTCCTCGTAGCCGCGGGATCATGTGAAGAGTTGAATCCATCTGAATGTTATAGTCACTCAGTGTTCGTCCATCCTCCAGTTGCTCACCAGCAAATATGAGTCGTTGTTGGTCTGGTGGTATTCCCTCCTTGTCCTGGATTTTAGCTTTCACATCCATAATGGCATCACTGGCCTCCACCTCCAGAGTTATGGTCTTGCCTGTCAGTGTCTTCACAAATATATGCATCCCTCCTGTTAGCCGCAGGACCATGTGAAGAATTGACCCCTTCTGAATGTTATAGTCATTCAGTGTTCGTTCATCTTCCATGAGTTGTTTACCATCAAATACCAGTCGTTGTTGGTCTGGTGGTATTCCCTCCATGTCCTGAATTTCAGCTTTCACATTCTTAATGGTATCACTGGCCTCCACCTCCAGAGTTATGGTCTTGCCTGTCGGTGTCTTCACAAATATATGCATCCCTCCTATTAGCCGCAGGACCAAGTGAAGAGTTGACTCATTCTGAATGTTATAGTCACTCAGTGTTCGTCCATCCTTCAGTTGTTGACCAGCAAATATGAGTCGTTGTTGGTCTGGTGGTATTCCCTCCATGTCCTGAATTTCAGCTTTCACATTCTTAATGGTAGCACTGGCCTCCACCTCCAGAGTTATGGTCTTGCCTGTCGGTGTCTTCACAAATATATGCATCCTCCTGTAGCCGCAGGACCAAGTGAAGAGTTGACTCCTTCTGAATGTGATAGTCACTCAGTGTTCGTCCATCTTCCAGTTCTTTACCAGCAAATATCAGTCGTTGCTGGTCTGGTGGTATTCCCTCTTTGTCTTGAATTATCGCTTTCACATACTCAATGGTATCCCATGCCTCCAACTCCAGAGATATGATCTTGCCTGTCAGTGTCTTCACAAATATATCCATCCCCCCCAAGAGCCCGAGAGAGAGGTCTACGGTACTCCCACTGTGAAGACCACAATCCCTCAGCCTCTTCTCATCTCTCAGCACCCTCCCACCTGACAACACCTTCACCTGGTCTGGTGGGATCCCTTCTCTCTCGTAGATGACTGACTTCATGTCCCTCACTGTGTCCCCACCCCTCACCCCTAGTGCTAGGGTCTTCCCCGACAGAGTTCTGACGAACACCTGGTACTGTGGCTGACTCCTGAGGACCAGTCTGCACTTGCTGGAGATGAGTGTGTGATAGTACCCCATTCTTCTCCTGTCCTCCAGGCTAATCCCATCTAGACTAAGTTGTTGTAGGCGACGTGGCGTACCTTCTAAAGCCTCAATCATCTTCTTTACTCTCCTGACAGAAGTGGAGGACTCTACTTTCAACTTGATGTACTGGTGGCTCTTACCCTTTCTCACTTTCAAGTTATAGAAGTGGAGCCGTCGAATGACATATATCTCGGCCCCACTTTTGATTTCGTAGTTGTCTAACGCAGAATTGTCGTCAATTTGCTTACCGGCATGCAGCAGTCGTTGGCATTCCGGCGAAATCTTTGCCACTTTCGCAATTTTCTTCTTCACTTCACGAATCGATTCGCTAGTGACTACCTCAAGAGGGAAGGCTTGGCCTGTCAGTGTCTTGACAGTGATAGGGACCACAACTAGCAGCCCCAGCTCTGACCCATCCTGGATGCCACGCTCTCCCAAATTCACCTGGTTCTCTAGTGCCCGGCCTTTGAAAGACACCTGCTGATGTTCTAGTGGAATTCCCAGTTCAGCCTCCAGCACTGCCTTAACATCCTCCACCCTTTCTCCTCTCCCTGCCGTGACTGGGACCACCTCACCTGAAGGTTGCCTCACACGTAGTTTTATCTCCTCTGTTGAACTAAGGTGGAGGGTACTGCCCTGTACTACGTCGTAGTCTCGAAGCAACTGTTCGTTCCTCATTTCCCTCCCATTGTAGACCAGGCTCTGGCGATATACTGGGAGACCATCTTCGGCCGCTATTTTGCGCTTTGCGCTCTCGACTGTGTCGGAACTGTGCGCTGTGAGTGTAAAGGTTTTACCTGACGGGGTCCGCACGAAAATCTGCATTTTTGTACCTGCATAGCACGTACATAAGCCATGTACAACCAGTGTAGGTTTCAAGTTTTTACCACGCTCAGAGAAAAGAAGGCAGCTCGCTCTATCGGTCTGCTTGCAGGGGCGTAGCCGGGATCGAAGCAAATTGGGCATTCGCCTTGTTTATTATTCATAATTAATTGTGCGCATGCGCAGATGTTGCGCAATGTCAGTGTTTACTCGCCTTTTAGAGGTGGAAGCAAATGAAATATCGTCACTTTCGATATTAACTCATCTATTGTATTGTACTGTTTGACAAGCTATTTTGCTTTGTATCGACATTATTGTTTTGTAAACAAGTATGTGGACATTATTGTGTGTACTGTATATTGACTGATATAAAATGAGCATGTTCATAAAACTGCAGTGCTAACATAGACTATAACATAGATCAAAAGCTATATCCTTCTTCATTACTATTGGGCTTAATTCGCAATCACAGTGTTGACTCAGCAACTTTGGGCCCCAGTGCATTTGGTGGTCCGTCAGCTCTGTCTCCCTGTTGGTTTGGTTGTCCGTCAGCTCCGTCTCCCTGTTGGTTTGGTGGTCCGTCAGCTCCATCTCCCTGTTGGTTTGGTGGTCCGTCAGCTCCATCTCCCTGTTGGTTTGGTTGTCCGTCAGGTCCATCTCCCTGTTGGTTTGGTTGTCCGTCAGCTCCGTCTCCCTGTTGGTTTGGTGGTCAGTCAGCTCCTGGTTGTCCGTCAGCTCCATCTCCCTGTTGGTTTGGTGGTACGTCAGCCCTGTCTCCCTGTTGGTTTGGTTGTCCGTCAGCTGCATGTCCCTGTTGGTTTGGTTGTCCATCAGCTCCATCTCCCTGTTGGTTTAGTGGTCCGTCAGGTCCATCTCCCTGTTGGTTTGGTTGTCCGTCAGCTCCGTCTCCCTGTTGGTTTGGTGGTCCGTCAGCTCCGTCTCCCTGTTGGTTTGGTGGTCCGTCAGCTTCGTCCCCCTGTTCTTTTGGTGGTCCATCAGCTTTGTCCCCCTGTTCGTTTGGTGGTCCATCAGCTTCGTCCTCCTGTTCTTTTGGTGGTCCATCAGCTTCGTCCCCCTGTTCGTTTGGTGGTCCATCAGCTTCGTCCCCCTGTTCATTTGGTGGTCCGTCAGCTTCGTCCCCCTGTTCGTTTGGTGGTCCGTCAGCTTCGTCCCCCTGTTCATTTGGTGGTCCGTCAGCTTCGTCCCCCTGTTCATTTGGTGGTCCATCAGCTTCGTCCCCCTGTTCATTTGGTGGTCCGTCAGCTTCGTCCCCCTGTTGGTTTGGTGGTCCGTCAGCTTCGTCCCCCTGTTCTTTTGGTGGTCCATCAGCTTCGTCCCCCTGTTCGTTTGGTGGTCCATCAGCTTCGTCCCCCTGTTCATTTGGTGGTCCGTCAGCTTCGTCCCCCTGTTCGTTTGGTGGTCCGTCAGCTTCGTCCCCCTGTTCATTTGGTGGTCCGTCAGCTTCGTCCCCCTGTTCATTTGGTGGTCCGTCAGCTTCGTCCCCCTGTTCGTTTGGTGGTCCATCAGCTTCGTTCCCCCTGTTCATTTGGTGGTCCCTCAGCTTCGTCCCCCTGCCCGTGCGACTGCGTCCGTCAGTCGCGTCGGTCCCCAGGCTGTCATTTGGTGGTCCGTCAGCTTCGTCCCCCTGTTCATTGGTGGTCCGTCAGCTTCGTCCCCCTGTTCGTTTGCGTGGCCATCAGCTTCGTCCCCCTGTTCATTTGGTGGTCCATCAGCTTCGTCCCCCTGTGGTTTGGTGTCGTCAGCTTAATCTGTTCATTGGTGGTCCATCACTCGTCCCCCTGTTGGTTTGGTGGTCCGTCAGCTTCGTCCTCCTGTTCATTTGGTGGTCTGTCAGCTTCGTCCCCCTGTGCATTTGGTTGTCCGTCCTGTTTGTAATAATAAATGTGAACAGTGTATAAACTGGATTGAGCAAACTACAGTACTAATATTGACTATAACAAATAAAAGCTAGCTAACTACATAATATAATCTTGCTGTATACCTTTAGAATTTTGAAATTAACTCCACAAATCGCAAAAAGAAGTATGAGAACCACTACCAGAACCAGAGGGACCACAATGACAACTGTCCGTTGATTATTAGGAGTATCTGGAGAAAAAAACAAGACAAATTTTCAATGATGTAGCTATGTAGCTACATGATCTTGGTAGCTCTATATATATAATTATGATAAGTTTCTTACCGCCCTCTGGAGGTTGTATTGCAGTAGGGACTGGTTTACTAGAGGTCACAAGAGGATCATCATCCAAGCAAACCAGCTCTTCATTCCTGCAATTGTTAGTGATAGTGTTCTTGCACAGGCAGCTGGGATGGCTGTTGTCTTGCAGACATGAACACAGCTCATCTCTATCGCATGTCACTGCAAAAAGCATTAGCATTACTCACTTTGCTATAATTATTATGGAGGGTGTATAATGACCGGCAAGTAGAATTACAATGGTACTTGTCTATTTAACTTTCAGAGCACCAAATAACTGAGAATAGATAATTCACTCACACGTGCTTTTGAACGCATTTTGTGTGAAAGTCACCTTTATTTGGACAAGATTGAATAGCACTCTGGTCTATACGAAACAGCCAGACACCTGGCTTTCCAATGTTACTGCTGTCCACGAGTGATTTGATGTTGGGGTCTCCTGAGCAGGGCATCTCCCAGCATTGCACCTGCCCTGCTGTTCCTATATAGAGTGGTTGCATGGTCAATAGCATAATTCACTACACATTCTAGCCATGAAATTAACACAGTAGTTATACCAACTTTACAACATACATGCTTTATCAATGCATGAGCTATTGCAGTTATTAAGCAGATAAACTTTAGAATACCATCATTGAATCCCACATGTGCAGGACTGGAACTTCTGTCAGCCTGAATCCACTGTAGCTCATTATAGAGAAAGATTGCAATGTCATTTCGCCATCAGTAGCTAGCACACACTTGCGGCGCGTGTCGACCTGTGCGGTAAATGATTACTTGAGTTCTACAAAGTCTCATACTAGAGCTCGAAAGCAATGCCGTCTAAATATCTACTTACCAAGCCGAGAATGAAAACTGTTAGTATGAGGATGACATTCATCATTGCATACCTGATCGTTTGATTCATTGAAATATCCAGCAACCTCTTCCCATGTCGCCAAAATCAAGTACTTCGGTCGAAAGTCGGTCATACTGAGTAAAGTTTCTGATCTGTCCTTGTGCTTTATCAAGAAAAGTGCCCCGGCTGACTGGTAGAAGACTGTACTTTATGGTGCCTCCCATTTCTACGTTGAAATCCGCGAAGAAAGGCGCAACGAGTGTGTAGTTTTCAACAGGAAGTTCTTCTATCCTACCCATGCCCCAAGTATCATTGTGAAGTTCAATCAAGTATCCATGGCCCATATATGCAAGGCTCGCAAACGTCAAAAGATTTATGCGCGTGCCCGCCAAAAAAGCAAAACAAAAACCTCACAGTACAGTTGGTGTACTTTTCCCCAAAGTAAGGGAGTGGGGGATTTAGAGATATCGGTAGAGAAGTTCCATCATCGGTCACAATACTCTCGTATTTGTCGCTGTCGTAGTAAACTCCGTCGCTTCGCAGCATGCGAAAGTCAGCGCTAAATGTAGCAGCGCCGCGTTGAGTTTCATCGCGGTGATAGGTTCCACAATCCCGGAGATACTAAGAGATCAACAAAGTCGCTGTCTATAGGTAGATGTGTAACTGTGCCAGCATTGCACAATCCCGTGAGTTGTCTGCCTCTGCCGTCGTCGAGACGGTCATTTCCCAAGACCATCAGGCGGGCGCGGAGTTGCTAGCATTCATGATCAGCGCCGAAATTGCAGACTGTGCGCGACAAACGCTTGCTGCAATAAACATAGCAAAATGTATACGTTTAGTGTAGCATATCATGTGGAAGATCATTCTATGCACTGTGTTCTTGTGTGTGGCTATTAGAAATGAAGTCATAGCTAAGCTTTGTTTTTCTTTGACTTGGATTTGAATTGCTTGGCGTGGTCTTTGCTGCAGAAGACCTTCCCGTGGCGAGGGAGATATGGCTGGCCGAGGAGGGAGAGGGAGCAGAAGGCACACACGAAGCACTCGTCCGTGCCGTGCCAGATTAGGTCCTCGTGCTTGAGTCGAGGCTGGTCCAAGGTCACCTGATTACCACAGGTCTGAGGGGGAGAGTTTAGAGAGAAGTAAAAGGGGGAAAACGATGATGAGTGGGGGAAGGAGAAAGGACGGAGAATAAAACAAAATGAAGGAATGGGAATAGATAAAAAGAGGGGCAGGGGGCAAGAAAGGAAAAATGAATAGAGAAAGACAGGAGATGGATGAAAAAGAGTTCTAGTCTGCAAAAAGGCTATGATACCTACCTCACATATTGAAGAGAAAGCTACCTCGAAGCACTCGAGGCAGTATGGCTGTCCGTTCTGGGGTCTGTACTGTTTCCCCCCGAGGCCCTGGTCGCAGTAGAGACAGCAGAAATGGTCGAGGTGCCAGTCCTGATCCTCTGCACGGGTGTACTCACGACACACTATCAACTATACAGGACAGAAAAGTGTTGCTTCCATTGAGTTTTTTCCAGCATGGCATAACTTTGCTGGGCTATATGAGCAATCTTTAAAAGAGTTCTAATTATTATGCTACCTCAATTAAGACTTATTAACCCAGCACTTGGTATTTTGGCTGCTCGACTCTCAAAGCTAGTTGTTTTCCTCTGACTGTTAGCCTACAGTGCTAAATGCTTCTCACCTCATCGCAAGCTGCACATCTGGGCTTGATTTTCTGGGCGTGGTGTCTCCCGCAGTACACCTTTCCATCTCCCTCGTGGTAGAAGTATATCAGGTCCACGAGGAGTTCGTTGCAGTCATTGCAGGTGAAGCAGGCAGGGTGCCAGACACTCCGGGGCCCCACTCGACCAGACATCACCACCACCTCGCCTATCTTGATCTCCTCAGTACACTTCTCACATTTCTGTAGTAGTAAGTATCACAGAGAAGTGGTATGATATTCAAAGTTGAATGTGAGAATGAACAGTGTGATGTCCCTGAGGTCGGGAAGCTTTAAGTTTCAAGGGTACCAATGTGCAAAGCTTTAGGTAAAAGGAAGAAGCCCCTTATATTTAGTTTGTTGGGTCTTTCTTGTATCAGGATGTGTTTGTACTACTGCTAAGGCAGCTTGAAACTCATGTAATCTACAAACAGTCGGTTGTATGCATAATAGCTGTCAAGGCCTATCTAGGAATAGATCTACACGAGAATATATACAGTCTATAGTAAAAATCCATTAGCTATAAATCCTTTTTTACCACCATCACAATTCCCTATTATTATCTCACCCAAGTGGTCCCGTCGTTCTTGGTTCTGACTTCCCCACGTCCGACGCACTTCTCCTTCCTCATCCTGGCAAACAGCTCCATCTGTTTGGCTTCCTCCTGACTCAGTTCGTTGCAGTACATCAGGTCCACGTCGTGGGCCGGGAGCTGTCGAATGAGCTGTTTCTGGTGGTATTTTTCTCCGGGAGTCCCGCGGACTGGCGCCTTGGCCGCCGGAAGCCCCTTGAAATACGCCTCTGCCTGCAGAGGGAAGAAAAGACAGAGAAATGTGAGCTGTCAACTAGTTTTAAACTAGCAAGATTGAACGGGAATTCGACAATACATAAGGGGTAAATTGAGAAATATTACTATAGATGGCCAGTTCAAGAATGCAATTTGGTTTCCGTAGTTTTTTCTAAGTTTAGCCCTTTCATACTACCACATTCACTTTATAAAGTTCTTCTAGGCTATTTCTTGGCTAAGCACAAGCTATACATACCGCTTACCCATCCAATTGTTTTTCTTACCTCTTCAACTGAGCAGCCTTTAGGTGTCCAAATGTAGTTGTGTAGTTTCCTGAGAATACTTGGGCTTTCTCCGCTGGCTGATCTGCCACTCAGTGGACGCCTGACAGGGGGGAGAGGGGAGAGGGATTATAATAGGATTTCGGAATGACTGTATAAACAGGCAGTCGAAGGTACAGCAAATGAGAGACTTCATTTACACAAATGCACGAGTAATTTTTTTGTAGCTAATAGCAGTGTTCAACTAAATATTGACAGTGGGTATATATACTCATCAATAAGACACTGTTGCATCATGTGCACTGGCTCAGTAAAAAATAGTTTGGAATGCCCCCATTACAATCGTCATTATTTTGGTATAATGATTATCGTCAGTCAAAATGTGCCTTATCTACGTTTGAGAACATTACGTTCACCATACTTTGGTGAGCCCGGAGCGTCGCCGCTTCGTCTTGTCGTAGTTTCCACATCGGGAGAGAATAGGATTTTCCCGACTGACACTCTCCCTGGTAGACCTCCTGCGTCCTCTCGGATATCATGATCTTCTCTTGGGCACAGGCAGTCCTTACACACCTTCCTGTATGTGTCACAGACAGAGAGAGAGAGAGAGAGAGAGACAGACAGACAATGGGAGACAAGAGATAGAAAATCACCTAATCATACATGACATGTTGCCTAAGGAGTTTATAAATAAAACTCACAACAGTAATATTGTTGTTGTAGCTATGGTAGGGAAATGACTGGACTGTTTAGTTATACCTCCAAAAGTGGAGAGAGAATCCAGGACAGGCATCACCACAGTTAAGACAAGCGCTGCCTTCGTCCACCTCATGAATCAGCACTCCCTGAGAAGACACATCAGTGGTGGGGGAATTAGCTCAAAATGGTAGAGCGCTCGCTTAGCATGCGAGAGGTACCGGGATCGATACCCGGATTCTCCACTTGCTTTTTGAAGTTTTATGCTCAAAAATCGTTCTGCCACTACCTTTTGTGATCTTGAGCGTGCATTTTTTAATGCAGAAGAAGCAGATTATGCAGAGTTATGCCATAATATTGAAAAGACCTGCTCTCTAAGGATTAGCAAAGATAGTGCAATGGAATGAATGCATTTTGGCTACGCTATTTTGTGGTATTCATATCCTGTTGTCACTGAGGTTTTGAAATAACGGACTAGTAACTAACTACAGTTGTGTACAGGTCCACCGTAGACACTATGTTTACAGGTTTTCCAATGAATCACATTATTTCAAACAAAAGGGTGGTAACCATAAAACCACACCCTTTGCTTACTTAGGTTTTCTTGTATGCTATTAATTTTCAATGCTAGTGTAACATTCATATTACCAGAGACAGTATGTATATAGTCCATAATGCTCAGCTACCTACTTGCTTTTCTAGCTTGCTAAAAAGCACTGACATGCGGTACTGTTACACACACAAGAATGGTACTCTTCCTTATACCCTGTATGTACAGCTTTCACAATGCGCAGATTTTGTGACAGCATGCTAGACGTCGACGATAGGTAAAAGGGGGGGTGGGGCAGGTTTGAGGGCGTATTCTGCATGCACCAGAGTCAGTTGCTCCGGCTCTTCTGACCTTCTTTATAGCTACGACTCGAATCGACTGCAGCTTTTTCCGCCTCTCCAGCGAGAACTTCTTTTTCTCCTCTTTCTCCTGTCGTGTCAGATATACTGCAGCCATGTCCTTCCTCACGCACAACGTTATCCGCAGCAGCGCGAGCACCCCGCCCAACCTACGACTACGCGCAATTACCGCACACTCCGTATACCTCAGGCGTCACTTCCGTAATCTCCATCTTCGCACAATCCGTGCCCGACTCCGTAATCTTTATACGACAAAGACGCACAATCGTAGTCTTACGTCGTCGTCGAGCTATAATATACACATCATTTGAAGCATACAATAATATCGGGTTGAAAATTTATTTCTTTGAAACACGAAAATTATGTCTGATCATTGAGTTTTAGTTGTTTTTTGAAAACAGTAAACTTGGGAGGGAGGGGATCAATGATGGTAGAAAATAGGGTGGGGTTGTCCGGTTGGTGGTTGGTGGTCAGAAGAGTCTCTTCTCGTATCTGCAGTGAGAGAGAAAAAATAAGCTGCCTTCTGTTGTTCTGTGCAATTATAGGAAGAAGAATGGAGAGAGGGAGGGAGTATATAAGAGGGAGAGAGGGGGAGAGGGGAGGAGAGAAAGAGAGGAGAGAGGAAGAGAGAAAGAGAGGAGGAGAGAAAAGAGAGAGAGGAGAGAGGGAGAGAAGAGGCAAGTAACGTACGAGTGCAAGCCGTGGACCCCTCCCTCAACAATGGCCGATCCTGTCCTCTTCTCGAACCGCAGCTCCCCGCTGTACATCATGGAGCGGAGGTTGGTAAGACTGCGAGCACCCACGTCTTGACAACTGTGCTGGAGACCTGCGGAATGTCACATGATCGTCACATGATGCAAACCAACAGCTCATGCTGTACATTATACGAAGAGATTAGGACTACCTAGAATTCCACACCAATTCTGATGACATTTTTACAGGCAAAATGATGCTTTGAGCACACAACCCATTTCACTATTATACCACAACTACAAGGTAATGTGACAATCACATGATAGTCATGTGTCCATAAGATGACACTGGTGACCTGTGAGTTATCAAGACACCAGCTTCCTAATATGGACCTAATATCTGCCTCCACTGGATGGACTCTGACCTCTATGTAGCAGAGGTTTCCGTGGCTGGGAGGCAAGTCATGTGACAGTCACATGACCTTCGGTGACCTACATACCTGAGTAAAGGTAGGGGATATATAGGTAGATGGATCCCTTGTCCACAACTGATCCTGACACTCCCTGTGCCACCTGACAATGACATCATCATGACATCATAATCAGTATAAGGTTTAGTACGTATGTAAACAGAGTGTGGGTGGGGACGATAATACAACAAGAAAAGGGCAAAAGCTTTCACGAGGCTTGTATTGACAAAATATTTTCCTGCTAGTAATGGCAACAGGCAGACCTTGACACTGGTGGACTGTGAGAAATATCTCTGCTGACTCCCGTCGCTCTCCATGGCAACCAGGGAACCCATACCTGGTGGAGAAGAGAGGGTTAAAATCACCAACACACTAGTTTGGGCAAAATGTCTCTGGGAAAAAACACTGAACTATTGCATATACATGCCTACATGCAAGAATTGCCTAAAAGTAGATCACTAAATACAGTAGAGGGATGACACAGGTCGTCCTGCATTATGCCCATACATTTGAGTTTCAATCAGATCCAACTTTGTTCACAGCAGGGCAGCTCTTAAGGAGTTGTCCCGGGTGTGTAGTTCTTAACATGATTTATGACACAGGCACCGTGTTACACATACGACTGACTTTACTAAAGCGAACCAACCTCTGTATTTCTTCAGTCGTACTCCGTCCTGAAAGAAGTACTGCCCCGGGGCCTCTGAGGTACCCGCCAGTAGTGAGCCCATCATGACTGTACTAGCACCCAGAGCCAGGGCCTTTGCAATGTGGCCCACGTTCTGAATACCGCCGTCTGCTATGACGGGCACCCCAAACCTGCGGGCGTATTCTGCGACCTTGTAAACGGCAGTGCCTTGCGGTCTGCCCACTGCTAGTACCTCCTGTGGATGTGGGTGTGAGGGGGAGGGAGGGAGGGGTTAAAATTGGGAGACAAAGTAGGGAAAAAGAGTGTCTTGAAAAGGGAAATAGAATACTGAAAAGTGTAGTATAGGAGAAAGGAAAGTGGAAAAACAAGAACAATAGTACATGTACATAATATGCTGGCAACTTCTACACATGAAACAATTCGTTTTTCATTTAAGACTAAGTTTTGAGTCACAAAATTACACCGCTACAGCAAAGTAAACAAAAAAACTGCAGGGCTAGGATTATAAAGTTGTGCACGGTACCTGAGTGATGCAGATGGACCCACTGCCCATGCCAACTCTCAGGGCATCCACTCCGGCGTCTATCAGGTTCTTAGCCTGCTGAGCCGTAACCACGTTCCCGCCAATCACCTTGACAACAACAAACCTGAGCTTACATGCACACATGCACACATACATACACATAGCATACTACTCTAGTTTGCCAGCTAGCCCTAGTAGATGCAGTACTAGTCATCTTAGTCATTGACTATACACTTGAATATAGAGAGGAACCTCCGATAAGGGACCCTCCGAGATAGGGATGAGGACACTTTTTCAACCCCATGCAAATACTTTAGTGTATTACTTGACCTCCTAGATAGGGACAACCTCTCTACAAAGGACACTTTTTCAACCCCATGCAAATACTTTAGTGTATTACTTGACCTCCTAGATAGGGACGACCTCTCTACAAGGGACACTTGTTCCAACCCCATGCAAATACTTTAGTGCATTACTTGACCTCTGAGATAGCGACGACCTCTCTACAAGGGACGAAATCGTTGGCCCCATAGTGTCCCTTGTTCGGAGGTTTCCACCCTACCACATATAGTACAGCAGTTCCACTCTATGATACGACATTTTTGTGTTCGCTCCCAAACTAAGAACTGCACGATTCGATCTAGTATACTATAAGCACAGTATATAAATGATTTACTTCAAGATCGGGATATTTTTCCTTGATGTATTTCACCATGTCTATGAGGAATATTGAGTTCCCCTGCGAAGAATCCTACAGTAGACAAAAACAACAGTTGTGCATCATTATGCTCACAAAATTCAAAATTCCTGCAACATTGCAGAGCATTCGTGTCATGGTTTTTGTGGTGTACATATTATTAAGGCTTAACCCTATAAATAAGTATACAGAGATCAGCCGTAATGGGCAACCACCAGGTCCTCTCGCGGAGTCATTAGCTAAGGGAGAAAAATACGCACCCTAGAGCTCAAAAATTTTCAGTAAGCTGTTACATTTTTAAACAGTTCCGGCAGAATTTGTATTTTATTTTGGTCTCTCAGTTCTGGTGCCAGGCAAATGATGTAATCATTAATTGTCTCAGACGGTAATTCCAATTAATGCACTCATCATTGAGACCTAGAAATGTTTAAGAATGGTTAGAAATGAGGACACCTTTCTAATAAGGACACGTTTTTCTTCCATAAGAACAGTTTTTACAAAAAAATATTTACGCACGAAATAAGGACACCTCACTAATATGGACACTTTCTTCTGTCCCACTGGTGTCCGGATTAGAGAGGCTCCAATGATCACGCAGTACATATGTATGTAGCTCACCAGTACAACAACGTCCAGACCAGCTCCAACCAATGCCTCCAATCTCTCTCTCTCCGTGGCAAATGTCGAGACAGACGCACCCACGAGTAGCTGGTTCTTGTCTTCCTTGCTGGCAAGGGGAAAGTTTCTGCTCTTTTTGAGGTCAGTTCTGGCTATCAGCGCTATCAACTCGTCCTTCTCGTTGACAATTGGGAGTTTTCCTTGGTGGGGGAGATGGGGAAGGGGGGAGAGGGGAGGTGGGGAGAGAGGGGGAGAGATGGAGCCAATGATCTAGTGTAGCAAGGAGCGCGAAGCTTAGAGATTGGATAGAGCATTATCAAGGGTTGCCCCCCGTTGCTCGCTTGCTCCCCTTCGCGCTCCTCTCTGCTTCTTTCTCCCCTTCCTCTCGCCTCTCTCTCTTTTCGCTCGCCTGGCTCCCTTCGCTCTGTCGCCCCTGCTCTCTCCATAGCTCTCGGTTCTCGCTCCTTTCGCACGGTGCGCGTCTTGCTCCCCTCTCTCCCCTCCTCTCATTTTTCTCTCCTTTCTCCCTTTCTCTCTCTCTCCTCTTCTCTCTCCTCTTCTCTCTCTCTCCTTTTTTCTCTCTTTCTCCCTCTCTCTCCTCTCTCTCTCTTCTCTCTCCTTTTCTCCCTCTCTCCCCTTCTCTCCTTTCTCTTTTCTCCTTTCTCCCCTCTCTCCCCTCTCTCTTTCTCTCTCTTTCTTCCCCTTCTCTCCTCCTCTCTCCTCTTTCTCTCTTTCTCCCTTCTCTCTCCCTTCTCTCTTTGCTCTTTTTTGCTTGTTCTCTGTTCCCCCCCCCTCCACTTTCTTCCCTTTCTCCCCTTTTCTCTCCTTGTTCTTCTCCCTCCCCCAAAAAAACATTTAGAGTGTATCAAAAAAATAATCTTCAAAATGTAGAAGTTACAGTGCTTATACAGCACAGTATGTAGTAGTCTCTCAGCTCTGGTGCCAGGCAAATGACGTAATCATTGCATTGTCAGACGGTAATTCCAATTAATGCACTCATCATTGAGACAAAAACACTGCACACAGTATTATCCATACAACAACACGTGAATCTCATCACATAAAGAATTTCATACAAATGCCGGTCCGATTCTCCGCTTTTGCTAACGCAGCAGAAGTCGTAAATGTCTAACTCGCATCATAAACATTGCATTTGTAATGAATTCCAAATGCCCAAATAACTGAGATCAGGTGCACATCAATTAGAATTTGATCAACTTCAATTTGGTTTAACCCTTAGCAAGCCACGGGGATATATGCCCAGAACCTCCATAAGTCCATAAGAATTTATATATGGCTATAAAACTAGGCGTTAATATGTCAATTTCTGCTTATTTAAGGAGATACTCATGGCGTCCAAAGGGTTTTAACTGAAGCATTTCACATTTTTGCTCGGGTCTGAACAAGTTATGGGTGAACTCCGCGCACATCAGCACCCCTCGGGCCCCGCCTTTACGTTGCCTTTACTAGACTAGCATCGCTCCGAACAACACAACACAACACAACACAACACAACACAACACAACACAGGGGCAAACATCTCGACTGTACGAAACAGAATTACACCGACTCACCCTTTTTTGTTGGTCTGCAGTATCTGATGGGCCTCTTCCAACGTACAGCCGTAATGGGCAACCACCAGGTCCTCCCGCGGAGTCATTAGCTAAGGGAGAAAAATACGCACCCTAGAGCTCTAAAATTTTCAGTAAGCTGTTAAATTTTTAAACAGTTCTGGCAGAATTTGTATCTTATTTTGGTCTCTCAGTTCTGGTGCCAGGCAGATGACGTAATCATTAATTGTCTCAGACGGTAATTCCAATTAATGCACTCATCATTGAGACCTCGATCAGTCACAAACGACGTCATTACGAAATCATACGAGATGACGTAATCTTACATAAATAATGACGTAACCTTACATCACTGAGAGGTCTACTGAGACTGTCGTCTTCTAGAAAGTCCACGTCTCTCGAGGTGACGATTCCTTTCAGAACACCTCCCATCTTCCCCGTGTCTTTACAGAACATGCATAATGGAGGAAAATGAGGTTTACTTTTCCATTTTGTGATATTTTAGCAGGGGAACAAGCCAATTGCACTGATGCTTAGCTCAAGGGTGGGGCGAAGATGGCAGTGAGTAAAATATGCTGAGGATGCATGTATAAAGTTAATGATGCGTCTTAAATGCTTAATAGTGCGGTTTTTGCTCTACAAAAACAAGGAAAATTTTTGTTGTGTTTTTTTGCAGTAAGATGATGATGACAAAACTCCCTATCATAGCCCCATACATCTATAATGCTAGGTACCATGCCCATCCCTATATACTAAGTACTACCGTACTTAGAAACCCAGTAATCAGGACACCAATGGGGCATATGCACCTGTGATCGGGATTCCTGAAAATCCAGATTTCTTCTTCAAGTTGACGAGATCGTTGAGCGTGTTCTGTGGACTCATACAGACTGGGTCCATTATGAACCCCTGCTTATATTTCTGAGGAAGAAGGCAGGAGGGTTCTTTTACTACATCATACAATGGAATACGAGAAAGGGGGCGGGGCTAGGCACTAGACTAGACAATGGTAAAACAGTGGAATACGAAAATCATGTACTTTTGCGAGGTAAACTCTCATTTATGCAAAAGTGCATAACCCTCGTCACTTTATTCTTTATTTCAGCAGCCAATGGCTACTAGCTACACTACCTCAGTTTTTTTGCACATGCGTGTTCAATACTAGTTACTACTACAGCAAAGTGAAAAGCAGTACATAATCCTCACCACTTTATTCAGCTACTAGCTACACTACATAAGTGACTCCTTCACTGAACGGATTCACTGGGTGTGTGCTGTTGTCACTTCACCGGCAACTGTACCATCAATACGTGCAAAGCTAGCACAGCGATCGTTCGCGCGATCTCTAATTGACGCACACTCACCTCGACAGCCGCCCGTTTCACCAACTTCCCTGGCCTTCTCCGCTCCAGAATCTTAGTTTACCATTCATGCCTCCTACTTGATAATATGTCAGCGTATCACGCTCGGAGTTGCCGCGGTTACCGAGAAAAACGGTGGACAGACGGACGGACAGACGCACACACATACAGACAGACCAACTGCAATAACCCTCACCTGCGCATGCGCGCCGGCGAGGGTTAATGACCAGGAGGAGGGGAAGGGTGTTGGATTTATTTGGCTAGCAAAGTGAACTACTGTTTTGAATGGGGGCTTTTCTATATGTACATAATTATGTCAACAAACAGGTCAACGAGGTCAAAGGAAACAAATCAACTACACCCACATACATTTGATTAAATTTTGATTACAACAATGATGACGCACACACCAAATAGGAATAGATATTTCTTAGTCGTGTGTGCGTGTAACTCCGCATTAAGTCACCAGAAATGCAAAAAAAACGAGAGAGTTTCGACCGTTCATGGAGTACTGCATACTATACTCCTGCTTTGGTAACACACAACATGCGTGGGTTTTATACATACCTTGACTTTTCTGACTTCGTTGGCCTGAGGTTCGACGTCACAGTTATGATGTATGATCCCAATGCCTCCCATCAACTGTGTGTATGTTTATACATGTGTGCGTGTGTGTGTGTGTGTGTGTGTGTGTGTGTGTGTGTGTGTGTGTGTGTGTGTAGATGGTTAGTGCACAGTGTACTAGAGTGCAGAGGGCCGTGGGTTCGAATCCCACCCAGGGCAGCTCTTTTTGAAAGTGTTATCCCGAGTGTCCTTGCCAGTTGCCTATAAATATATATAGCTTGTGTATGAAATTGCATAACTCTCATGATAATCTGTGTGGGCTGTTTGTTTAGGCACACCCCTTGCGCACCTACACAAAAAATGGGTATATAGGCTCACCAGATTTCTAGATATGGTTTCTCTCTGTGTATATAGGTACATGAGTGTCTATTGAAGCAAACACATGATTACCTTGTACATTTACAACTGCTAATGTACACATGAGGGCCTGGGAATGAAGCTAGGCAAACCACGTCATGTGACTATCACATGATAGTCATGTGTCCATAAGATGACACTGGTGACCTGTGAGTTACCAATCCAGAACACCAGCTTCCTAATATGGACTGTGTATTGTAATATCTGCCTCCACTGGATGGACTTTTACCTCCATGTGGCGGAGGCTTCCGTGGCTGGGAGGCAAGTCATGTGACAGTCACATGACTATCACATGCCCTTAGAATAGGGCTGAACTCTCGGAAAGAGGGAAAATGACCAGAGAGTTTGTAGAGAGGGTTAAAATCATAAAGTGGTTAGGACTTTCAAAGTGAATTTCGACAGAAATATCGTGGACAGCACTTCTGCAGATTGCTGGCCTGCAATTGTCCTCGCTGACAAAATACCACCACATACTGCGGAGGTATATATACACTTACAGCCATTGCTATTGCCATGGAAGACTCGGTAACAGTGTCCATGGGGCTACTGACAAACGGAGTTTTCAGAGTGAGTTTCTTTGTCAGAGGAGAAGTCAGGTCCTGTGAAGACAGAGAAAGACAGAGAGGGGAGGGGGAGGATACATAGTTTGGAGCAAATTACAGAGAAAGAGGCTTCAATCAAACGTCACACTCTGAGCATACATAGTTACAGAAAGTTCACGGTACACAAGAAGCTGAGATACACAACTCCCAGGACAACTGAAGTATATAACATACAGACAGCATTCAATGCATACCACTTGGTCTGCAGTGAAGTCGATAAATCCAGGCAACATCAGGAAGTCACTGTGGGAAGCAGCATTTTCATTACAGAATACCACGTGTACATACACCGCATGTGCGCACACGTGGCGCAAGAGAGTGACTTTTGCAGCTCGTATAAAGGATCGTTGAACTAGAAAGATGAGAAACTCACTTGTACGTAAGGCCAGCGTGAGACCCAAACAGCTGAGCGCCCGTCTGCCCGTCTTCAGGAACGTACGCGGTTCCTCCGCTGATGAGGTACTCGGCCATTTTACGTTTGTCGCTGCCCTCGTAGGGGAGCTGCAGGGAGAAAGAACGGTACATATCTCCGCCGGCTGGGTTGCAGGGGATCAGGGCGCGGCAATGTCAGCAGTGAGAGATCGCTATATAGCTACAGCGCGAGCGTTGCATGCTGCCAACGTGCGCACGTGCGCACGTGCGCGCGCGTGCGTGGCTGCAAAAAGTGCGCATGCGCGTGTGACTATACACACACGTGCTGCCACACACACGCGAAGGCCGGAGCGCTCTACGCGCAGCGCGAAAGGAGTAATAAAGGTCCCTCGTGTGTGGTAGCCACAGCTAGCTTTCCTGCTAATGGGCCTGCTTTATCGTCCGTGAAGGAACTGTAGCCTGTACATAATCAGGACCGCGCAATTCTAGATTGAACGCACTCAGTATAATTTTATACTAGGGCACGAGGTGTCGTAAGAACGTAATACGTACGCAGTCTCACTCACTTCTTGTAGAGATTACGTATCGCATTGGAGCATGTTCCAGTCCCGGTGATCAGCGCGGTGCACGTCCCAACTGTCTAGCTATCTCCGAGCATACTTGTGTTCACACGCTCCGATTCTCGGCCGGCTAATTTTGGGGCGCGCGCAGAGCCAAACTGCACAATAATACAGTAACACACATGCATGTATAAAAGAGTTAACATTTGCAGCGTGTGTGTGTGTGCCTTGCAGTGTCATGTATGTGTAGGATTGGGAGGTGGTTGAGTCCAGAATTTCTCTCTTCTTTCGCGAGCCTTCCTGAGCAGATCTGAGGCAACCGAACAGCTCGACAGAGACAGAGACGAGATTGAAAGTTCGTCAGCTGCTTTTAGCGGTCGCGGATTAGTCTGTGGTGGAACTGTAGCTCTTACTCTAGGGGGGCCCTGGGGTGAATTTGAAAACTGAACCCCGTTTGGTTGAGGGGAAATTGAACCGGACCCCGCAGAACTCGAAGAAACTCCTCGGGTCTCGAGTTTTTCCGAGAGTTGAGTGACGGGCCCCCTGTATTTGTGCGACCCTAATGACCCCAGAGGCACCGCAGATCGTGGCTGTTGGCGATTCCACGACGAATTCTCTACCTGAACACCTGTGTGAGGAAGGGTCTTGCGCAACCAAGCCCCGCAGATATCACATTGCCCACTTGTACTGCGAGTGTGAGACGAACAGCACCGAGGGTTTGTCGGTCGTGTTGAACTCTCTGGGAATTTTCGTCTGACACTTGCGTTGGTGTAGTTGAGTTTTTGGTTTGGCGGATTCGAGGAGGAAGACGTGCGAAGGCTGCTGAGGAGGCTGGAGATGGTAGAGTGGGGCGGAGAAGGGTGAGGAGGGGAGGTGGGGAGGGTGTAATGTGCCCGGCGTGTTCCCGGTGCGTGTGGCATAGCTGGTGGAGGCTCATGTGAGTGCAGTGCCAGGGAGGATTTGGGGAGGGTGTGAGGGTGTGATGTCGATCGTGTAGGGGCACTGCTCAGGAGGCTGGGATCTCGTTTCAACTTTGCGCTCACCTGTGAGAGATGCAGCCCCTTCTTCCTTGCCTCTGACGCAGCCGTCTTTCCCCCATGTCCTGACGGCCTCGTTGAAACAGGGGCTGCCCACACTCCACCATTACTGCGCAATACTTTCCCAACATCCCTGTCACCCATACGTAAAGTGCCAGGTTTACCCTGTGACGACGTTTTGACGAAGGCGGGACGGTTTGGTGATGTTAGCACTGCACCAGATGACGGGGTGGTGCGGTCCAAATGATGCCGTAACACGTATTCGGACGATTGTTGGAGAATCGGCGTGGGTATTCTGCCTTCAACTTCCCCATTAGGAGTTGCGGAGGAAGAGAGAGTTGGGAATCTACTTCCACTTGTTGTAGCTAAAACTCTGTGAGATTTTAGTTCAGGGCTCTTGACAATGTTTGGTGTGCTTCTGGCAGGTCTAGAATCTTCATCCTCTTCTGATTCGCTGCTGTCGAAGCTTTCCCCCTCCCCTTCTCCCTCATCTTCTTCTCCCTCTCTCTCTTCCTCTTCCTGTTCTTCATCCTCAACATCAACAAGATGTGGCCGACCGTTTGTGAGAGGGCGAGGCACAGAATACCGCGGGTGCTTCATTCCATTCTCCTCAATAGGCTCTTCAACACTCGGCGACGATAAACTAGACGAATCAGAGGGGTGGGCTCTAATTGGAGTGGTGGCCCTCTCGCTGTCTGCTGCTGGGAGATGCCACGATGAGTGGGCGGGAAGAAAGTGGCAACCCTCCGATCTCTGACGATACTCGACGGCCTTGTGGCGGATCTCGTTCAACTGTAGGGGGGACAATAGGAAATCACCGGGTAAGGACACACTTAGGATGTAAGAAAAGTGTCCTTGTCAGGGGAAGAAAAGGCTCTTGGGGAAAGAAAAGGTGTCAAATTTCAGGCATTTTCTGTAGTAGTGACACACAGAATGGGCTTGGCGGTACTTTTAAGTAGCTTGTGGTTAGTTTTGCAGTAGTACAAACATGGCAGGGTTGTTAAGCCCCAGTCATGCAGAGTATGCATAAACATCCCCAAGACGGGTGCTGTGTAGCTAGGTATACATGTACATGCACAGATAGAGGAAAGTAAAGACAATAGTACGGTACTCTACTGTAGTGGATCCAAGTGGTGCCCGCACATAAACTTTCACAAAAAACATAAGAGAGAGCTTTCACTAAAAGTTTTTCCTTGAACTGTATTTGTATATTGTATATGTATTGAACTGTATTTGTATATTGTATATGTATTGAACTGTATTTGTGTATTGAACTGTATTTAGTATCATTATTGTATAGCTGTGGTGAACTGACCTGGGCTAGCAGAGATTCCCGAGGAAGGATTGGACACTCATCAGCCCCCCTCTCTCCCTCTCCCTTTCTTTCTCTCTCTTCTTCATCACTAGACTCATTCTCAACCTCTGGTTCGTGTGCCTTTCCTTTGGCCCTACTCCCAGATAACGGGTGTACAGGACTTGGCTCACAAACAATCTGTAGTAGGCATGTACACATGTGTAGATAGATACAGACGTGATAGAGGGTCTATTCCTGTTCACTGCTCACTTGCCCAACTACCAGCTGGCAGTAGATAAGGGCTAAATTTACATGCATTTATTTGCACCCTGTATTTGTTCCATCTTTGGCAACTTTTCCAAATTAAGCCAACGCTCCCGTCATCACAGACATTCATTACACAGGAACCTTTGTTTGGAAAAGCAAAGGTGTCCATGTGTGTCCTCATTACAGGGGTGTCCTTTTACGGAGGGGTTCCACTGTATATACACGCAAAACACATTAGTTCAGTGCCTTTACTTTCATACACACGCACACATACGAAATTAGAAGATACTGACTTTGGAGTTGGTAGGAGTTGGGTGTGGCGTCTCTATCCAGGCCCCACGGATGTACTTGAAGTCGAGGGGGGACTTGAACCGAGTGGAATATTCGGTCCCCCAGGTTCTGAGGGGTCCGGGGAGCAGGGGGGCCGGTACAGGAGACGGAGTGATGAGTCGAGGATCAGTTACATCAGATCTCTTTCTTGGACTCCGAACTGTACACAAATCAAATCAACAGGAAAAATTGTATGTACATGTAGAGGGGGTTTGGGATAATGCCAAATGCCATGTATGTATGTACATCCAGGATAAGAGCTGGAATTCAAACCCACGACACTAGGGAGTGTGATCTACCACTGAACTATCAGGGCAGCTTAGCAGCCTCTACCACTGAACTATCAGGGCAGCTTAGCAGGCTGGGGTCAAACTTGAATAGCTCGGGCAGGGCCATAAGTCTACTGTGCAATACAACACAACATAATGATAGGCAAGGCAAACCCTAACTATGGCAAAGAAATAATGATATCTTTCCTCATACCCTTCTTCCGTCTTGTTCCTGGTAAGACTTTCGCTGGAAGGGAGAGGCCAGGCCTTGAACTGTCTCCGATACTCCGTCTCTCCTGTTGTAGACATCTTCCTTGTTCTCCGCGTCCCCGCTGTTTACGGTTTACTTGACGTCTGCTATTCCTCTCACCCACAGGCCCTGGTGACTGGGAGCTAGAGAACCCCCTGGCCCCTCTCGTTAGCTGTCGTTCATCAACATCAATACCTGTATATACACAGAGGGATGGACACTAACTAACAGGTGTCTCCCTTGCATGTAATGTAAAAATGCCAGTGCGCTGTTCGGACCACTACATGCACTCGCTCCCCACTCGCCAATAACCAGAGGGTTCTCTGGACACTTTCTCGAGAGTGAAATTAATCCACCCTTACAGCCACACAATGCTACATACATGATGGTAATACAGGCAAGTAGAATACTAGATGTCATGTCACGTAAAATATGAGCAAAGGGTGTACAAATGGTCAATACCCACAACTTTTAGTACGCGAAACACCCCAAATACACTGTACATTTTAATCACACAAGTATAAAGGTAGACAGCAACCTTGTGTACCTCTGTCTATTCAGTTGCTCCACTTTGTCATGCGAAGGTGGATGACCGTTTACTTGTGGGTCTCTCGATTTCTTCCTCTTCTTCTCACCTCCTCCTCCCTCCCTCCCCGCCCCTTCGTTACGTCTCAATCTCTCGGCAGCTTGCAGCAGAGGTGCCTCAGGCTGGTGTCCAGATTTCCACGTAAACTGGACCTGGTATACTGACGGTATGGGTGGAGGTTCCGGTCGACGGTAGCCAGCTCTGAATGACATAGCTTTATTGGCCTAAAAGATATCAAGCAAAATGCGCATAGAGCTACTAACATTAGTCCAAATGCAACAGGATTTGCATATTATATTATGTGAAAATTTATGCTCACGAGAACACGTAAAAAACAAGTCCCAATGGGGGACACATTTTATGTTTCTACAGAGCAATTATAATTCCTTGCTCTGAAATTAACACGGAAAACAACAGGTTTGGAGGAGCTAACCTCATTTCTACCCGTCCTTTCCCCCTCGTCTTGTCTGAGAACACCCTCACTGGAGATTTGCCCCTCGCTGCCCACAACTCTCTTCTTTCTCGGGAAGGAAGGCTCTTGGGCCAGTGACTGCCTCACCGACGGCACGCCCGCTGCAGACTCTGTAAGGTCTACTCCGTGAAGCGGAACCTGCACAAGTAACACGTCCCTTATTCTGGGCGCAAGTTTACTCTATTTAACGCGCACCGCCAGCGAACCGCGGGAAAATAAACATTTTGGGACTCGCTAGACTAAGGCACTAACACGAAACTCACACTCTCCGGTTTGGCCATGTCTCGCAGTCCGATCTGCAGTTTCAGACGAGAAGTGGAGGCTTTTCTCTCCCCTTGCTTCCGCGCAGATTTCAAAAATGACACATTGCTAGGGGCAACCGCAATTATTTGCGCATGCGCACATAAACGACCATATTTTGTCGTGTGACTCAGTTTTTGAGAGACAGTTGCTACTCCTGGGTGCCGTAGCTATTGTGGACTCCTTAGCGGTAGCTCCACAGCCAAACAACCCTCCAAAGACTAAGAGATCTCTCTGTTGGATGTACTGCGTTCCAACAGCAGTGTTTTGTGACCAAAGAAAGAAGTCCGTGTGTATGTGTGTGTGAGGCGTTTCCCCGTTGACTTCTCACAAGGTGCATAAAACGTGCTGCTACGCCTTCTCTCTGTTTCTGTTTGTGTAAAAACCTCGCCACTGGGTTGTTATTGATTGGTGCCGTCTACACACGAACGTGAGATCAGGAACAAGAGGCTGCTGGGCGGTGGCTGTGCAAAGTTTCAACGTGGAAGGCTGGCCCTGAGCGCCCTTTTCTATAAAAACAGCTCTGTCACGAGATTTCCTTGGCCGGCCGTCTCTCTCTGTGTGTCCAGAAAGCTTGTTGTCGGCCTGTTCACCTGTGCAAGTTGTAAAAATGGCCGCTTCTTGTGTGTAAACCGTTTCGTCACTTCTCTTTGACCTACACCAGCATACGTACATACATACGTGTGTGTGTGTATGTGCGATCTTTAGAAGCTCCAGATTTGTTCCCTGGTCCGTTCTGAAGAGCAGCTCTAAAGAGAAAAGCCTAGAAAACGCTCTCCTTTTCTCCCTCATGGGCCAACAATGTGTCTCTAACGAAAGTGTTTGAAATGGGCTGAGGAGTGACGAAATGTCAAAACTGAAAACGTTATTTTTTGGGAAAAACTCACAGTCGTGTTTTCCTACCTCTGTGTGTGTGGTTAATGTTATGGTGTTCTGTCGTTGTTGACACAAAAGCCAGCTTCACTTTCGATAAAACTGGGATCCACAGTTTGTACCTGCAGTAGTTCGCGAAGTTGTGTTTTCTGCGCCCACAAAGGCACATGGTCCGTTGTGCACTGTAATACCACACCTCACTCGCTGTAAGGGGATACCCTCTGTTGTAGTAAGAGGCAATGGGCTGCTTATCTAAACCCTGGAATGTTATCTGGATGTGTGAAAAGTGTGGAAGGTTGTTCGTAGGGTGTTGGAGATCCACCCTTCAGTTCCTTTGTGCGAAAAGGGAGTGTGTGTGTGCCCTTTGTTGAATTTCTCCCTTTCTCTCTCTTCCCCTTTCTTTCCCTCTCTCTGATGTTCCTCCCTCTCTCCCCCTCACTTCTTTCCTCCCCTCTGTCTGTGTAACTGTGACAATCCAGGTACAACCCACATACAAAAAAGCTGGATTCGCCCGATCTGACAGTACCATACAAGGGATACACCCTAGACAGACCAAAGACCAACGTTAGATCTGTCACAATGAAAAGGACGCGAGCTGACCACGGGAACCTCAACTCTGAAGACCTTTCCGCCAAGCGAATCGTCCGTCGTAAAGTGACTGCGAGTGGCGATCACCGCCGCAGCTTGAGTCCTGCTGATGACCTTGAAACCCCGCAGCAGCGCCGTGAAGTGAGGACGACTTCCTCTGTGCTCAAGTACATGAAATACTCTACTGCAAGTGGAGGAGGAGGAGGAGGAAGTGGTGGGGAGAAATATTCCTCGGGTTCAAAGTACAAGTACGGTGGCGGCGATGGTGGGAATTCTGAAAACAAGTACGATCACTTTGATCACCGTGGGACGTCTGGTGGTGGAAAAGGAGGACGGAATATGGGCGACGGTTTTGAACGGACGTCGCAGCTGTCCAGACGTGTTTCCGCTCGTGATCACAATCATCATGACACGGGGGCACACGGCATGCGTTTCAACACCTACAATGATCGGTTCGAGTTTTCCCTGAGGATCGGTGCCCTCGATGTGGACATGCACGATGGGGAGCTAAAAACCTGTCTCTTCAACCTCTTTAAACACTACGGCTATGTCCACATCAAGGTGCTGGGACGTGGCATTGAGAGACACGCCTTCATAAATTTCATGAAGCGGCCAGACGCGCAGAAAGCCCTGAGCGAGATGTATGAATTTGTTCTGGAAGGAGTTCCTCTCAAAACGGAATGGTCCAAATCAACTCTCCATCGCTATCCTGAGGTTGCAGATAACCCCTACGTGACTCGCTCCCGTCGAGGGGCGGGGCTGTCGACGCGACCTTCGACCTCTCGGACTCGTCACCATGAGGACCACTACGACAGCTACGGAGGGAGCGGAGGTCGCGAAAGTCCACCTCCCCCACCCAGCAGCTCCCGGGAAAAACAATCTTCGTATTCCACCAGAGAAGTTTCAACAACGCGTCGCCCGCGCGAAGTCTCCCGGGATATCCACTCCCGCGAACTCTCCCCAAGGGAAATCCCCGCTCCCCGTATCTCTCGCGAGCTGCCCCGGGACATTCCGCGAGAGCCCGATATCAACCCACGAGAATCCCGGGACATCTCGTACAAGATCTCAAACAGTATTTCCTCGCCTCCATCGGCACACGACCGAAGTCACAACTCTGCCTCCTCGGGTGGTGGGCAGTCGTCTTCCTCGCGTCACGAGCCGCGCACCGTTATTCCCATCACTGACCCAACGGCCACGCGGACACTGTTTGTCGGGAATCTCGAGCTTGACATCACCGAACGCGAGTTGAGAGACTTGTTTGGCCCGTACGGGCGCATCGAGAGCGTTGACATAAAGACACAGCGAGTATCGGGAGCAACTTACGCTTTCGTCAAGTTCCTTACCATCAACGATGCCATAAACGCCAAGAATGACATGCACGGCCGCAAGTACGGCGAGTACCGACTGAAGATTGGGTTCGGTCGCGGGCTCCGTCGGGGAAAGTGTGGATTGGCAATCTCACGTGTCTCACCGATTTCAAAGAGGTCCAACAGGAACTGGACAGGTTTGGTTTGATCCGCAAGACAGACTACCAGGACGGTGACAACCACGCCTTCATCCAGCTAGACAGTCTGGACGCTGCACAAGCTGCAATCGCTTCTCTGACTGGCTACCGCATCAGAAACTCGGGCCGGGTCCTCAAGATTGATCTCTGCAAACCAATGCACCTGAGAGACGATCCTGATTTTCACCTCCGTCACATCCCCGAACGCTCCCTCTCTTCCCAAGACGATTCCTACCCCACTTCCCCCGCAGTGTTCAAGAGAAAGGTCCGCAATCAAGATTACCATCTGCAGCACGACGTTGGTGTGAGAAGGGTTAAAGATGACCTGGACGACCTCCCTCCGATCAAGGGGGAGAGGATTGTGAGTTCGAGCGGTGGTGGGAAAGGAAGGAACACGCGTGAGGATATTCGACGAGAGTACCACCGAAAGAGGCCCCACTCACCACCTCCTGGTAAAGACGGGTTCCACAGGGGAAGTAGTAGCGGACGGATGCATTCCGACGAGCTAAATGGAGTGGGCGGAGACTACCACACAAAGCGGCCGAGGATTATGACGGAATTGGGGAGCAATCGTCGCAGCGAGCGGGAGCGAACCGGCGAGAGAGACCGAAATCAGGGCAACAAGGACCGAGAAAGGGAGTCAAAGAGGACAACGGGCAATGAGAAAGAAAGGAAGGAACACAGTGGAAAGAGAGATGGAGAAAAATCTGACAAGGCTGAAATTTATTCCGAGGGTAACAAAGACGACAAAAAATCAGACACAAAACCGGAAAAGAAAGAGGATCCTGCCAAACCAGTAATGGAGCCTAGTCTGAGTGATTTAGTGGCGGCAAAAGACACGGCCCTCAAGCTCGACAATGCCCCCGAACAATTGGCAATGGATACGGGGGCAGGGGGGTCGAGCACCCTCAAACCAGCGGTGCCCGAGACGCTTAATGATCTTGCCATCCTCTACCCGGTGGCTTGGCGTGGGAATCTTGTCCTCAAGAACACGGGTTTTCCAACTCGAATGCATCTGGTCGGTGGGGATCCAGCTGTGGCCGAAACGCTCCTGAGGACTAGGGAGGGGAAAGACTACCTGTTTTCCCTGCGCATCACCCAGAGGCTGCGTTTGGAGCAGCCGAGGCTCGAGGAAGTCAACAAACGAATGGTATCTGCTGGGCCGAGCGGTTACTGCGTCCTCTTAGCTCTCCCCGGACCAATCCCTCCGAATCTTTCGCCCGACACTGACAGCATGATGCAGCTTCGACCCCTCAAGAGCCTCGTGAGCTACCTGAAACAGAAAGAGGCCGCGGGCATCGTTGCGCTGGGTGGGCCCGAGGGGTCCGACACTGCCAGCGCGAGTGTTGACAAAGATGTCGTTGGGGTTCTGCACGCTTTTCCTCCCTGCGAGTTCTCGCAGTCTCAACTCACAAAGATAGCTCCCAGTCTGGGCGCGCAACCGGCCAAAGAAGACCATATTGTTGTTCTTCTCGTCAAAGGGAATGTTTGATAAAGAAAGTTTGTAAAGGAAAGAGTATTGATGATATATACTTCTCTACGAAAGACTTTGGAATACCCGTTATTGTACCACGCATCAGCTGTTTACCCTTTCCCGTGTTTTTTCCTCCTTTTTTGAAGTTACTTTCAAGTGTGCATAATAATAAATACGACAAAAGAACTAATGTGAGAAAGCAAAGCGAGACTGTTGAAAAATTTCTTCTTCTCTGCTCTTCGGTTTGATGCACTGCCTACTTAGCAATACTGCTGTGTTTATAATACTGCACTTGTACTAACATGTGTATAATTATTATAACACTGGTGCAGAGTTTTTATATGCAGTGAGTCCACAAAAAATTTATCAACCTGGTTGGATGAGTAAGCAGGGGGGTATTATTATGTTTTTTCCTATAGGTACTAGCAAAGCCTGATCGTCGTGATCGAACCCTCTCTTGTGCCTTTGGATTGAGCTTGTTAGGAGATTCCACCGTAGAATTCTATAATATAGTCTTGTTCCCAGGCTCCCCCTCTCGATGTAAACAAGCTGTAATCCTCGCTGTGTATGCGTGCCGAGGGTTGACAACCTTTGTCAAAGAGGAAGGTCACACGCACACATTTCGCATGCGGAGAGGAGGAGCCTGGGAAATGAGGCTGGTAAGCTACAGGGGGTTAGAAGAGAAGAGAACACCCTGACATAAGTGGGATGTTGTATACCAAAGATCCACTAGCTAGGGAGTCAGAACGTATTCGTATAACCTTCTCCCTCAGGAAGGTAGAGTAGTTATAGATATTATAGTACTCTGAATTTAGAAGTTTTCTGGAGCTGAATCACTGTGCATATCAAATAATTACACACGGCAGAAAATGTAAAAAGGAGCTGCTGCCCTGAGTGGGGCTCAAACCCAGGACATTCTGCACTCTACTCTAGGCAGAATGCTCTACCTCAACACTGAGTCCAGGGTGCGTGTGAACAGGATAAGGATTTGAGGTGCTAATTATCGTCGTCCTACAGTCACAAACGTGCAGTATTGTAGTCCACAATAAGCCTTGTAGTTTTGCTACAATAGGCTAGTCTACAATGTTATTAGCCATGGGCTCCGTAAGAAAGCAGTTTTGAATGCACATTCAGGGACAGCCATGAATAGCTAAAGAGGTTTTTGTCAGAGTGGTGCAGGGGGAGGTCGCAGAGGGGGGGGTGGAGTCAGGCTTCTTCTTTTTCCTTTCCTTTTTTCCTTGCCCGCTTCTTTTTACTTCCCCCTTCTACTCTGTGTCTTTTCGAGGCTCGGTGACAGCTGCGGGGTGCCGGAGTGGCTTTGAGTCCGGTTAGGTTATCCAGGGGTAGGCCGATTTTTTCATCTAATCTTCGTCTTTATGTCTGGGCGCCCCTTCTTCGCTCTGCGCCCTCCGTCTTCTTTGTTCTTCTCTTGTGTTCTTTTTTCTTGTCTGTTTTCCTCCCGGCAGGGAGGAGGAGGGATGTGAAGGGGGAGCAAGGAGGAAGGGAGGAGGATGGGGGGGGTGAGAGCAGAGTGGTGTAGGGATAGTGGGGGGGTGGGGAGGCAGAGGCAGATGCAGGAGGGGCGGTGGGGATTAGAGTTCCGGGTGTGGAGTTTGCTAGTATTTTCCTTCCTCTCCTTCTGTTTTCTGTTTTTGCTCTCTTTCTCCTTTTTTCTCTTTTCTTTCTTTCTTTCTTCCTTCCTTTTTTCTTCTTTTTTGTGTGTGTATTTGATGCGGTCTTGATATTTGCATTATATTTGTCCTCAGGCCAGAGAGGGGGGGATGCATGGGGAAGAGGGATAGCGGGGGACGAGAGGGAGATGAGTAGTGGTGGTATATTTGTAGTACATTGCATTGCACTGCTTCGTTCCACACCTTCCTTTTTTTCTCCGGCTTTATGGCGTTTTTCTTTGGTTGGTCTTTTTGTTTTCGTTTGTCTCCTTTGGTTCTTCTTTGGCTGATGTTCCCTCTTGTTTTTTTCTCGTTTTTTCACACCGTTTTGTTGTTTTGTTGTGCCTGGATCATATCTTTATGTGTTGGTCGTTGTTATCTTTTTTGCATGCTTTCTTTTTCCTGTATTTTTTATCCACTTTGTCGGTGGGTCTTCGGCAGGTGGACAGCAGAAGATGAGTAGGGGGGGAGTGGGGGCAGGTGTACGGGGGGGGGGAGGCATAGGGGGATGGTCATGGGTGAGAGTGAGAGGGAGAGGTTGGGGTGGGGGGGATCAGGATTGGCGATCACACACAAAAAAGGATGATAGCATGAGGTAGAGGGTTATGGAGAGTAGGTGTGCAGAGGCGGGTTTTTCCTTCTTTTTCCGCGTTTTTTTTTCATCTCGTGCCTGCCTGCTGGGGTTTGGCTCGTCGTGTTGCGGCGTTTTGGTGGTCTGTCCTTTTCCCTTCCCTTCTTCTTCCTGGGCTGTCGCGTCTGCGTTTTCGTTTCCCTTGGTTTTTCTTTTTTTTTTTTTTTCTTTTCTTCCTGTTTTGTTTGTGTTTTTTGGGTATTTCAAACTTTCCCACATAATTATTACAGTTAGTTTGTGAATAAATATTAGAGACAGCTAAATTCGATGTGTCATTGCTCAACGACAACGACCCACCTTCTGTGACGCCGAATTCCAAGCATTCTTCGGAAAATCCCAGACGCCCACACACACGCGTCGACCCACGGCGCGCCCCTCCCCGCCTCGCCGGCGCGGGAAGAACCGAGACGCAAGTCTGCAGCACGCGGGAAGACGAGCCGCCCTGCAGTCTCTGTCTTCAGCTCCCCTCAGGCTCCAGTCCACTTCCCCCTCTTCAAAAGCAGCGAGAATCGGATCTCGCCGTTTGAGCCCGTTGTCGCGCCCGTACTCGCTAAGCAGTAGGGACGGGACCTTTATCGCTACAACTCGACTCTTCCTTCCGCTAGTGGTGCCGCGTCGTTGGCAGGGCGCGTGTGAGGCTCTAGTTCTGGAAACCCCCACACTTCTCCCTCCCACCCCCCCTGCAAAGCCCTCGGTATATAAATAGATACCGTATTTTTTCTAAGGTAGATCTGCTCTGCCTGAAAGGTAACTACACGAAAAGTCTTCCAAACCGACCTGTTTTTCTGTTGGAGCAATTTCAGAGTGGAGCGCCACTGTCGTATCTAGTACCTCTACAACTCTCTCCTTGCGTCCACTTAGTCTCCTTCGTGTGTCTGGAGCTGCTACAGCCATGTCTGGTTTGTACCCAAAACTGGACGAACCTTGGAGTGACGTAGACGAAGAAGGAACTGTTGTAGAAGAAGACGATGACGATAATCCCGGCAGCTGTGGTCAGGGAGGGCCCGGAGCAGTTTACAGCAGGCCTAGCAACCTCTCGGATCACTCTCGCAGCCCCAGAGACAGTACAGACGGAGTAAACCTCTCCGAGTTCCAAGATCACTTTCTCGGGCGACGGGAAGGTGCGAGTGGGTCCCACGATCCTCCCGTGCTACAGCGACTGCACCAGAAATGGCAAGAACGGAACTCGCCTGCATCATCCTACGGCAGAGTCGCCGAAAATTCTTATCCCTCGTCGCCGATATTTGGAGGCAATCCGAGGAACGATAGACACACGGGTGCTTCCGTTGGTGGTTTTTCCGGCGTAGTGAATAGGGGGTGGGGTACAGTGGTGTGGGCCGTGCAGTGGACACTTGGGGCAAGACTGTGGCAAAAAGCTGTGCTGACAGTTCTACTGGGTGTCCTGTGCTCCATGATAGTCGGTGCTCTTCGCCCCCACTTGGACACCCACAAATTGGGTGAGGTATCCCGTAATCAAGTTGCAATGATGATATAATTTGTGGACTGTTGTACAATAGGATGTGAGCGTGCGTGTGTGCAAAATATGCTATATACCTCAATGTGTGTGTATTTGCAGCAACGATATGTCTGTGTGTAAAAATAGCGCCTGCAAGGTTTGCTACGGTCTCAATGCTGTTTTATGTAGGATTATTTCCCAGGTGTAATTCAATAAGGCTGCTCGAGTGTGGCATTCCTTATCACGGAAATGATGCATATATTTCGTGCTGCGGTTTATTATACCTTGTCCATAGGGCCTCTACTGCTCCTGCCACGCACAGTATATCTTGCCCATGGTAATCCAATAAGGCTGTTTATTTATGCCTACGCAAAGTCTTGGTATTCCTAATCGCTGAATTAAGCGAATGCTGCGGTTTTATATTCCCCTCTCTTGGCTTGTCTTACAGGGGTCTTCCTACTGCACCATGTCCAATTAGTATTGAGCCTCTGGTGCCATTGTCCAAATAGCAGTGATCAACTTCTTAATTCCTTGTCCTCCTGTGTCGTTTCTCAGGCCGACCCTAAATGTATACTCCTTTTGATGATACGGAAACACCCGCCGCTCCACTAGTAATGCAGATCGAGTAAATATTCAATTTCTCGACTCGACTAGTAATACAACTGTAAGATCGAGTAAATATTCAATTTCTCTGACAGTGAGAGTTAATTAAAACTTTTATCGCACACTCTGCTGCTAGCAAGTGTGGCACGATAAATTAAACATCGGCAACAACTTGCGGATTTCTTTAAAAAAACACGCGAAATTGTTTTTTGTTGCAGAATGCTGCAAACTCATCTTTGCGTTCATCTACATACCATTCGGAATAGTTCACAAGTCAGGCTTTGCTTGCATTAGCTCACAGCAGCAGCCATAGCACCGAGGTCATGCACCGTCCAATAATAATGAGTCACTGTTAATGTTATATTATGCCAGTGCATATGTTGTACATGGCACAATACATGAGCCGTAGACACTGCATATACACCTAGTACATGGAGTTATTGCCATGCATTATGGCGAGAAACATGACTGCGAAGTATCAGCTGGTGTTTTGTTCGTAGAGCACAGACAGCACTTTCTATATAGACGCAATTAGGCGCAATTCGACTTTTGCTCGCCAGTAATAATGATTGGTGTTGATATTGCAATAAAAGGTCATGGGGTCACTGGGTTCTCTTATCATCCTGCAGACAATTACCTGCCGTGCATGCCTGAGAAACTACACCACAGTGACATGCCGGTGAGGTCCTCAGACTGTAGGAGACACACATGCCGTCTGTTCCTTTACAAGCCCATGTTGTCTAAACCACTCATAAAGTATAATACACCATGTAGTTACTCTGTGTGAAAGGGAGGGAGAGAGAGAGATGAGAAAGAATGAATTATGCAGCGCTCTATAGGGGAATGGCCATTGTTTACTTCTAATCCTTTAGCTCCTATAATTACGCTGCCAAAAATACCAACAGCAACAAGTTGTTCCTTCCATAACTCTACCAAACTCTCCCTCACTTTCTAGGTGTGATTGTTATTATTATTTTTTAAAATGTATTGATGATGTCGGCTCTATTTGTAGACGAGACCTTTTTAGAGGTGTTTGGGGTTTTAGTCGGAAGTCTGTTTTTAAAAATCTTTTTCTGTTGCCTTTGATGATACACGTGTGTGTGTGTGTGTGTGTGTGTGTGTGTGTGTGTGTGTGTGTGCGTGTGTGTGTGTGTGTGTGTGTGTTATTTCGTGTGGTTGCAGCCTTGTATGGAAGAGCCTGAGGCAAAGTTTGCAAGAGTAGCGGCTCTGAAAATGGCCGACATTCTTCACAAGAGAGCAGGTACGGTATGTATAGAGAGAGGGATGAGAAAGATTTAACCCTTTGGACGCCATGGGTATCTGCTTAAATGAACTAATGTGCACGCTCCGAGCATACACTCTGGAAATGCTAAAAGCTACCTCTCCTGTAAAACTATCTCCAGTCCTTGGATACAGGGGAAACATGCATTGGGAGTCATCAAGTGGCCTCTTTACATTTATCGCCATGGCAAAGAAGGCATGCAGGAGACACAACAATAATTATGGCTAGAAGGTCCAACAGACATTAGGGGAATTGCCTTCTCCGGCTAATGCAATCAGCACACGCCTCACTCAACAGCCGTAGACCTGGATTTTTGGCGAGCTCTTGGGACACTAGCCTCCTATCTTGTCTCATTCTACAAAACGTGTGGTGTGACTGCTGCAGGCATAATTGTAAACCTCATACAATTGTAGCATGCAGTGCAAGGGAATGTGGCAGTATAATGATGTAGTGCTAAACTTAGATACTGTCGCTAATTATTTCACAGGGCCCTTTTGTTTAGCACCACCTTAACTTAATTTAGCCCTTACGTACTGACACACATCCCTTTCTTTCGCTTTCCTGTGTTAAAATTCTTTCTGTTTTAGTAACATTTTTTACCTCCCTGGAACTTTTCTACAGTAGGTATGTACAACAAAATGATTCTTCTCTCTCTCTCTCTCTCTCTCTCTCTCTCTCTCTCTCTCTCACTCTCTCTCACTCTCTCTCACTCTCTCTCTCTCTCTATTTTCTCTTCGCGTGCAGTTCAATACGTCTGTGGTACAAAGGACGTACCAAGTCTTGCAATGTCCCTCGGAGAACTAAGACAAATGGATGAACTAAAGGTACTTACATTTATAAACGTACACTTTTTATCTGAGAAAATACTCATGTTTTAGCCTACTCTGCTCACTCAAATTTCCTCTTGAATATATAGTTGCTTTTAAAAGTGTTTTATCTTGAATGTTTAATTCCATAACGATGCATATACTGTAAAACTGTTTGCTACATCTCAGGGCACACACACGGATTGAAAATTGTAACTTTCTTTTTATTTTATTTTTTATTATTATAATTTTTTTTTATATGAATTTATAATCATACACAATAGCCAAAAGCTAATACATGGTGTATGAAAATTAACGATTAAATATTTAGCCATTCCTTCAAGGATGATTTGAATGATGGGAGAGTTTCAGATGAAGAGAGTTGACATTCTCTGTCTAAAATAATAGTATTTCCTTTGTTCCAGGATGTCTCCAAAGATGATATGAAGAACGTATTTTACCTCGTTCTAGTCAACCCTCATTGGAATATCAGGTGCAGTAGTGTCTGTGTGTGTGCTCTTGTGTACATGCTGCTTAGAAAAGCACTGTTTGTGTGCTCAAAGATGTACACTGTATATACAGAGGCTAATGTCCCTCATCACTACTGTCCCTCATCACTATATACTGTATGAGTTTGTTCATAATCTCACTTTGTGTTCGTTAGTTAGTTACTCAGGTGATGCAACATTGATTGTAGTGTTTAAAATATACTGTCCCCTTTTCACACGCTGTCTCCCTCCCTTTTGGTGCCTATATTATCTCTCCTCATCCCTCTTTATCTCCCTCATCTTTCTCCGTTCTTCTCCTCACCTCTCCCCTCTCCCCTCAGATGGATGGACAGTAGCAATAAGACAGTCGCAGACTGGACTCACTATCCTCAATCCTCAGACCGTCTCGCCATATTTTCTCCATCTCCCCCGTTCAAATGCCGTCTCTTTCTCAAACTAGCCGGTCTATGGAGCATGCTACAGTGGATCATCCTGGGTAAAGATGGGTTCACAATAATATTATGTCGCATTGCCCTGTCGCACTGTGCCGTGCCACGTTATGCCGTGAAGATGGAAATCGATTCTATATCCGCGCGACGCGGCAAAGCAGTTAACGAATGAAAACACAACATCCTCTTCAAATAGTACTAAACACACAGACATACACTGTACCTATTAATGACTGCGAAGAAAACCACGTGCTCAATTGGACCTTACTATGTGAAAACTACGAGGTAGAAAGGCAAAGGCACAACAAATAAGTCCTCTACACCCAGGACAGCTCTTTTTCCAAGGAAAAAAAAGAGGAGCTGCCCTGGGTGGGATTCGAACCCACGACACTCTGTAAGCATAATGTGCACATGTGCATTAGTGTTGTGCAGTTGTTAGCGTGTCATTTTGCTGTCGTGCTATAAGTGCTTTTGAAGAGAGTGGCGACAGGCATTTGTAGCTAACAGCCCACTGTAATAGAGCTAAAGTATATACATGGTTGCCTTCCTGAAGAGATAACTTTATCGCGGCCTCCAAAAAAACTTCCGTACTCTGGCCCCAATTTTCCGTCATTTCACAACTGCTCGGGTGAAGCATTGACCACGGGGTCTAAATGGCAAGTGCATAATAAACACTTTTTAAACAGCAAAACACTTTTTTCCAAAAGAAAAAAAAAGGGGGGATGGGAAAGAGCTGCCCTACATGTAGATGGGACTTAAACCCACGACATTCTGTTCTCTAAAGGTGTGCTCTATATACCATTTCTCCCTCTGAAAGTTTCCAGCTATTCACCATGCACCACCACACACACACACACTGTATAATGTGCATACAGTTGATGTTGCTACATACTGTGGTTTAATCAATGGCAGTCTCAATGCTGATGTGTAGCAGTCGAGAGTATTTACCCAACGGCACAAGTTTACTCAGTTGGTGTGTGATTGTGGTGGAGCAATTACGACTGGCTGGCCCAGCAATTAGACCCGTTAGAGGGTTTGCCTGTACACAAGTACATCTCCAACTGCACTTTTCTACTACTATTAGACCCGTTAGAGGGTTTGCCTGTACACAATTACATCTCCAACTGCACTTTTCTACTACTATTAGACCCGTTAGAGGGTTTGCCTGTACACAATACTCTCCACTGCATTTTCTACTACTAGTAGACCAGTTAGGGTTTGCCTGGACACCATTACATCTCAACTGCACTTTTCTTACTATTGACCCGTTAGAGGTGCCTGTACAAAGTTTTCCAACTGCATTTCTACACTTTAGACCCGTTAGGGTTGCCTGTACACAATTACATCTCCAACTGCACTTTTCTACTACTATTAGACCAGTTAGAGGGTTTGCCTGTACACAATTACATCTCCAACTGCACTTTTCTACTACTATTAGACCAGTTAGAGGGTTTGCCTGTACACAATTAATCTCCAACTGCACTTTTCTACTACTATTAGACCAGTTAGAGGGTTTGCGTACACATTATCTCCAACACTTTCTATACTATTGGACCCGTTAGAGGGTTTGCCTGTACACAATTACATCTCCAACTGCACTTTTCTACTACTATTGGACCCGTTAGAGGGTTTGCCTGTATAATATGATACACACAAGTACATCTCCAACTGCACCTTTATTAGATTCGTTAGAGGGTTTCCCTGTAGTACACAAGTACATTTCCAACTGTATGTTATTAGAGGCCTGTACACAGTACATTATGCAACTACACGTTATCTTCTACTTGGAGATTAACTCCTTGTCCACCTTTGGTTTTAACCCCTTTTCCACTCGGTGCTCTTGTTTTGGATATGAATATGCAAACTTTGATTGACATGTTACAGTTTGTGTACCTATTGACTGAGAGTTTTAACCTCTCTCATTCACTCGTTGTTTAACCCCTTTCTCCCCCCACGTTGCAGTCATCCACTTGTCGTTTAACTCCTTTCTCTCCCCACTTGTCGTTTAACCCCTTTCTTCCCCCATGTTGCAGCTATCCTGGGAGGGGTTGTGGTGTGTGCAGTGTTTGCTCTCTATCAGAAGAAGAAACGGAGACAAGAATCTGCGGTCTTCTCGATGGTCGGACGGATAATGGGTGAGTGTGGGTAACCCCTTAAATAGATTAGCTAATTGAAGACCATTTACACATGGAGTACCTACCCACTTGTTAATTCTACGGGGTTCTGATATAATTATATATATAATGCGGGAAATTTTTTGTTAAAGAAATTTCCGCAGTTTTGGACATTTCACTGAAACTGTTTGCATGGATAATGTTATACTGAACCCTTTAACGCAGCATACAATCCATTGTATCGTGCACTCTTGCGGCGCATACACTTTGAAACTTATGCGAAATTACACAACTGTAAGTTTTCCAAATCCACAGTTAAGAAGCACTGAAGTCGCCCTCATTAAAACGGTGACCCCCCAACGTAAATAAATAATTGTCCCCCCTGCTCATTTCCCCCTCGCTCCTGTCATTAACAGATGTGATGAAGTACCACTACAAGAAGTCCAGCACTAAGAAGGACCTCCTCCCGTATCTTGCCATCATTCACGTCAGAGATATGCTCATTCCGCCTTCTGAGAGGTCCGTCTCCCTCCATGCAAACGCCAATGCTGTATAGCTGCATTTTACTAAGTAGAGAACTAAATTTCACCGCTAAATTTAACCCTTTGGACACCATGGGGATCTAGCAGAAATTGATGTATAAAGTATTAGCGCCTAGTATTATAACCCCTATATAATTCTAATGGACTTGTGGAGGCTCTAGACATTTATGTGTCCGCGGCTGGTTAAGTGTTAAGAGCGAACTGAAAAAATTTCCTGCGTGCCGTTTTGGGTGGAGAGCAGGATAAGAATCCAAGTTTGTGAAATTAACTGGGAATGTGTCAGTACGTAAGGGCTAAATTTAGAAATGTTACTAAAGATAGAACAAAGCAATAGGGGCACAGTTGAAGAATGCAATCGAGTTCTTTTTACTTGTATATATTATTATTGTAGCCTTATATAATGGCCACATGTTTGCCTTTTAACTGGGAAAGTTTTTCCTTCGAAAATTTTACAAGAGATTTTACGCTGTGTGTGTAAAATTATTCCTTGCAAACATGGATCTTAGTTTACAGAGTTTGACAGCGATTGGCAAAATTTTTTTACTCCATCTTTTTTTTCAACTGTAATCCTAAAAGGAAAGCAAGGAGGGGTTGATGGGACGAGGCGGTGGGTTCACTGGATAGCGTGGGTAATGAGAGCGATTGAGTGGTGGAGACTAAGGGGCGAATGGCCGGGCAACGACTTCCAGGTGTGGCGGTGGATCCAGGTGGAGTGTTGCCAAGTGTTGTAGAGGTGTTACTAGTGTCCAGTATTATTACCCCATAAAATTAATTCTTATGGACTTATGGAGGCCTCTGCGACACCTTGTGTTGGGCTCGTTCGTGTCTCCTTATGTTGCCCACGGGATAGGAGGTTGTAAGGGACTGCCACATAGCGACAGTGAACTTCTTTGCTTCTGTCGGAAGAAACC